TAAGAGGGTACAAATGAAGAGATTCGGAATTAATAAGGCTTTCTATTAATCTGAAGCAGACATTAAACACATGAGAATGTTAACGCCTCCTCTCACTTCTCTCTCTCCCTTTTTTTAGTGAAAACAAAGAATGTCTGATATATTTTCCCCACCTGATCAAAACAGATAACTAGTCTATTATTTATGAGGTATTAGCAAAGCGTTAACAAAGGAACAAGTAGAATGATATGATTATATTATTATCATTTATTTTTATCATGCATGTATATAAAAACTGCATGACAGGGCAGAAAACTTATGAATTTGAAAACATTATTGGATCATTATATGATGGGCCATTATAACCATACACTGACAGGTCAAAAGTCAAGGGACAGATGCCTAATATATGTCCAGTGAAGTGCAACATCTGAACATCATCAATTCTACAAGTGGTTGGAAGACCTTTGAAGAAATGTTAAGCCATGCTTGCTTGATAACTGTCCACAGCCCCCTGTTATTTGTAGGGTGCAGAATCTGTTGTGCAAATATGCATCACATAAATGATTGATCAGACTCATGCTAGATAAGCATGGTGGCCACATTATTTGGTAAAAAAAAAAAAAAAAAATCTCCAGAATGCTCCCCAAAGTAATTCTGAACAATTTGAGCTCAATAGTGTGGTGCATTATTCTGACTCATTGTTACTGGGATGCATAGAGTCCATGAATTGGTACAAAAGGCAAGAAAACAGTGTAACATCGCAGTGACTGGTCAATGACATTCTTAGACCATACCTCACACCATTATGGAACTACCAGCCTGCAGTGCCATGACTTTATGAGGTCTGCACCTCACCTATACTCTAACATGAGCCTTAACTAGGACTCAGCAGACTATGCTATACACTGCCAGTCCTAAATCAGAGTTAAATCAGTGACATCACAAGTCCAAATGAGACATTGTCCAGTGTCATGGTGTTAACAAGGGCATTCTGGTGGGTCTTCTGCATCCATACCCCATGGAAACTAAAGGACAAAGAATTGACTTGCCAGATATGCATCTAGGGATCTTCTGCATTGAACGAGGATGTGATATGAGCCAGTGTTGCTTGCTTGTTATCAAAGATAATTCTAGTCAAATGTCTCTAGTCACAGTCATTAAGGACCCATAATTAGTTACTGCACTGTCCACAGAAGGCAGTACTACCATCCATCAAGTATTCCCAGTACATATGTGACTAGTAATACTTTCCATCAAATATTCACAGTATATACATATGACACTACAGATTGAGGGATATCAAATATCTCCATAATTTCAGAAATGGAATGTCCTATTTGAACTGATAATTCATATCACTTTGCCATGAGAAACCTAGCTGATATTCACACCAGATGTCAGAGTACAACTGTCTGGGTATTTCTATGATGTCAAGATACAGTGGTGCCATCTACAATTACCTTTAGATACTGGTACCGATGACTTTTGGCACATCAGCATATGGCACTTAAATGACTGAGGGATCTGATCCACAGGTATCTTTGCTTCTTTGGATATCAGTCCAAGAGCACCAATAACATTATTATTAATGTTTTAGCAATTTTGTTTTAATTTATTTTGACTTTTAATATAAATATTGAGATGGCCAAAAACAGTTGTTTTAAATGAAGTAGTTTTCAGTTCATTATATTTATAAAAATAATACGGCTGCTGTTTTTGTATTTTTCTGGCTAAAGATTTCATTGCTTTTTTTTTTTTTTTAAATTAACGGGCAACAAAATATAACCAACCGCCTCTCCATAAAATAGGTATCAAATGTTGTCTCTTTAATTTATAGCTATAAACAATAATTTATTGCATGCTTTATTATCCAGAAATGGTTTTAATACCTAAGTAATTCCTCAATAATAAATAAATACATGTTAAGCACACAGAAGAACAAGAATTTTTTAGATTATAAAATTTATGCTTGTCAAATACCATATTTTGAACAAGCAAATCAAATAGAAGAAAAAGATTTTTTATATGTAATTGTAAAATGCTAAACAAAACATGAATTAATAATAATAATAACAGTTTAACTTTCTCAGACACAGTAACAAATAAAATGAGTCAACTTTTAAAGTTCTTTTTCTTTTTTTACTTTCCGCGACCGGTAATTACGAGGTTTGTAGAGCAGTTAGTTCTTACCTGAAAAATCAGTGTAGTGACAAGTGGGTTAATTTTACTTATAAACTAAAAAGTTATATAAATGATTCAAGTGTTATAAAATATAACTAGAAAGCTTATTTTATTTTTCACTAAAACAAAAATTTAGATTTCCAACAAGAAAAAGGCTTAGTTGAATTATTTTGTTTTTTAGAACTGTAAAATTTTAATTTTATCCCAAACTTCGATACGTTATATTTCAATTATTTAATATAATTTTTGAAAACTAACAATATTTCCTATAGTCTCTTTTTAACCTCATAAAAATATCCCCCAATGTGTATTTGTGTGCGTGTGGTGGGAGGGGAACAATTTAAGTAGTACGTAAAAAATGTAAATAAAGACTGGGGAGGTCTCGTACTTTTAAGAAAAAAATAATCATTTCGTTCACGAACTGCTGAGCTACAAATTAAATATTAACTCTGAAAGTCTTGATAATTGTAATAATTAATGTGTTAATTAGCTTATAGTTTTTTTCATTATTGCATAACACACGGAAAATAGGCAAAAAGAAAAATTGGTTCACATGTGACTCAAGTCGTAGTTTTCAATTTTTTGTCACTTTCTTTTTAATCATAGTCTTCTTTTAAACTTCCTTCAAAGTTGAAATGTCGCACATTTGTTGTGATTTTAATTATGTAGTCATTATTTTGAAGGCTGGATTAAAAAAAAAAAACTACAATATTAAGAAAATTCAATACGCAAAAAAAAAAAAAAAAAAAAAAAAAATACTGCGGAATTAGAATTAAGAAGAGAGTAACACCATTTTTTAATAATTCTTCGTTTCATTGATTGAAATTTATGTATGTTTTTTTTTTCTCTTAGTTTTCTTATTTATCGCTATCCGATTGCAACATTTACTAAAAAAACAACTTTCATTTTTTTCTGACAAACAGAATAGGATTGTTAATTTTTATTTTGTTAAAAAAAATAATGATACTAAAACTAAATTTACTCAGTTTTACTCACTTTTAGTTTTGTTTTGTCAGTAATAAATTAACCATAATGTTTTAACTTAAGAAAAAATTAGTTATTAATTAATTTAAATAACTTTTTTTTTTATTAAGTCTATTGTGGCTTCTGTGAAAAAAAATCTGAATTTTTTATGAAATTAAAAAAATATCTACCGAACGATTGTTTTACAATACAGCTTTTTTACAGTTAGTTACACGAAGGTTTTTGTTGTTGTTGTTGTTTTTTTTTTCTTGTCGGACTTTCTTTTTTATTTATTATTATTAACGCCAAAGTGGCCATGGTCATTTTCACTTGCATTTCATTTTTATTTCAAACTCAAAAAGTAAAATTCATTTTGTTGTGTACATAAAGCAGTAATTTCCGCGTTTATTTTCATAATAATGAAATTTGCTACCTTAAAAAAAAAAAAAAAAAAAATGATACAGTCTACAACAACAACAAAAAAAAATCCAAACTCAATCGAAGACGCATTTTTATTTTTTTTTTTACACAATAAAAGAAAACGACATCGCTAAATACTGTTTGTGTTGTATTACTTTTTAAGGTGATTTTTTTTTCATTCAATCAACAAATACTTTGTAATAAATGATGAACAACAAAGTAAAAAAAAAGAAAAACATTTTGTGATAATGAAATGAAATGCGTAAAAAATGACTTGACGTTTTGTTTTAATTTTAATTTTATCTGGTACGCTTACTTCATGTGTTAGAGTTGTTTTAACGAATTTAAAAATTTACGTGTCATATGGTCATAAAAGAAATTATAATTTATTAATAAATTATGCATAACTTAAACTTTTTTTTTTTGGTTATTATCCTTCCAATGATAATGAAGTAATTTACCTCATTAATTAATCATGCTATGAGTATGACTGTACATAAAATTATAATTTATTAATTAAATTTAATTTGAGTAATAATAAATCTTCAATTATGATCTCTTGTGTCACTGGCTTCTACAATTTTTACTTAGTTTATATACTTTTTTTTTTTTTTTTACTGTTGTCACTTGTGTACTTCTGGATGAATACACAAAATTACAACTGAAAAAAATATAACTAATTATTATTTACACGCTATTTCATCTTTATAAATATATTTTTTTAGATATCATACAATGTGAGAACTTAAAAATACCTAAAAAGCATTAGTGCTAGAGCTTAAAAAAAAACAAAAAACAAACTTGTCTCAAACGATCTCTTAACATTTTTAACAATAACACTAGAAAGGCATACCACATAATCCCCACTCTCTTGGACGGTGCGTGTTAATTCTATTGTACAATGATCTCCGTCAAATATTGTTTACAAAAATTTACAGTTTAACTTATTCTTCTTCGGAGATGATGAAAATATGACTCTTAAAAAAAACGTTAGCTTTGATTTTTGCTAGTGTGAAACTTATTAAAAGATCATTTTCTTACTATTGTGAAAAAATGAAAACAAAGTAACCTTTTCACTTCACCCCACCTTTTTTTTTTTTTTTTTTACACTTCATTTTTTTTTCTCCCACTTAATTTGGATGAATTATGGTGCGAGTACAGAGATAAATTCTGTATTATGCAGAAACCATCAAGTAATGATGAAGTTTTTTCAAGACTATCTTACATAAATATTTATCCCAAAACGCATGAAAAACGACTACTTTTCTAAAACTGATACTACCGTAACAAACCATAATAAAGCAGAACACAAAAACATGAGTTGTGTAGCCGACTACTGAAATGTTTACTGATGCAAATAGCCACCTAACAGTTCTGAGATACAATAAACGATCATTTTGATTTTGAAAACGATAACCCCAAATCTGAATAGACAAGAAAAAAAAATGACCTACCTCCGTTTCAAGGAATTCTCCAACATCAACTTGAAGTTTCACGCCCGATTTCCGTAGACTGATAGCCGCCATGTCGGCTTCCTACGGCACGACTCGTTCAGGAATGGGGCTATTCTCCTGTTCAGCCGGTACAGCGGATTAGAGAAAATATTACAAAAACGAACACACGCGGGAATGCATGAATGAATGAGAAAGGGAGAGAGTAAGATGGTTGGGAAGGAAGTTGAGCCGCCGGAACCGGAAATCCAACTCATATGTTGTGGTTGCGGCGCAACGGAGTTAGCGTGATTTTGTATCTTTATTTCAGCAGAAACATCATATAATGAATAAATTGGGAAAAATAGCGGATATATTTGTTGTTAGTTGTACTTAATGTAGTTATACCTTTGAAATGTTTTAATAGCTTAAACATAACATTGAGTATTATAAGTGTATTTTTTTTTAACAATCAATATCAATATTGTTTTACTCATTCATACCATTGGCAAACAATTATAAAACAAAAAGAAACTATTTTTAATAATTTCTGTTTCGGTTTAAATTACATAAAAAGTTTATTCGGTTCAATATTCATTAACTTTTTAATAAAAAGTAATCGAATCCAAATCTGATATATTTTTTCAATTTTAAAAACGATTTAGAAAAGTGTTCAAATTTGTAAACACGAAATAAAATCAATCAATAAATATAAATAATCAATAAAAATAAAATCAATCACATAATTAGCCAGATAAAAGTTTATCCATTTTTCAGAAAATTTATATGATTAAAATGAAAAATATTACAGAATCTAGTGATGAAGAAAAATCTTATATATGTCTTACAGAATCTAGTGATGAAAAAGTTACTATATAATAATATGGTCCTGCGTGCTGGAAAGAATTACTTTCCACACTGCAACTCCTTGCTCATAAGACAAGATGTCACAAGCCTCACACTGCTCTATTGCTATTTCCATGGAGAGTATTCAGATGAACTACACTCCTTAGTTCTACTAGTAAGCTTAATGGCTCAGACCCACCATACCATGGACATTGAAACAAACTACCCTCATTCCCTTCATATTCCCTGGTGAGATGTAAGTGCCACTGAAGCAGCTTTTTCAACTTCTTCAAACCACTGCCTTGTGGAACCAACTTCCAAGTGGTTGTTTCCCTGATCTATGTTCAAGTCTAGGGTTAACCATTATCTTCCACACATATCTGTATAAGTTGCGCCTCTTACTCTGTAAACCTCTACCTTGAGTGGAGGGAACTTGTACATCGTGAACACAACTGTAAAAAAAACTTACCTTCTATTATTACTTATGTATGGATGCAAAGGGCAATTACCTCACCTTGGATAAGAAGACTTCATGAAAGTCATGTGGCGGCAAGTGAAAGATGTCAGTTTGTGAGGTGACAAACCCCAGTTGCTGATGTAGACCACTAGGATGCTGGATATCTCACAAGTCTACATTGGTAATGTTTTTAGATGTTTTTTTTTTTTAGTTTTCTGGAAGGTACTTATTTCAGCTGATCATCATTAAAGAGTCACTGTCCTCTAAGGGCCTATTTCCTAGACTCAAATATATGAGATTGATTGATTCCTTTTCTACGGTTTATCAACCCTTTGCAGGTTATTTAAAGCCAGAAAATATTTTTTTTAAATTGCAAGAATTATTTTTAAAAGATAATAATGATTTAGTAAAACAAGTCTTACTAATTAACCCATAGCTGGGGGGGGGGGAAAGCAGTGGATTCATACCTTTCCCAACAGTATTTGTATGTAAGGGAATATAACAAACCCAACTGGAATTGGAACTCGGCTCTCCAAATAGCAATTCCAAGCCATTATCCATTATACCACTTGCATATTCCCAAGTGGTCACCTATCTAGGTACTGACTAGGCTTGACATTGTTTCACTTTGGTGATAGTATGAGAACCCATGTCAAACATATGAGAGTGCCAGGTCAGGACTGTAGGATGGAGAGGGTAAAGCTCTTCAGTCATGCACTGTGATTGCTTGTCTAGTCAGTAAACTACCACAAGTCCTTGCATTGTCATATTTAAAAAGTACTTTACTCATCTTCAGTCATGGCCAAGCTTAAAGAAGCCTAATGTTGAGGTTTAACAATCTTCTTAAACAGGAGTCAGAATTGTTCAGCAGAACATCATTGGGTATAAATTCTAACAACATGACTTCTGGTTATAAAATACAGAAGCTATTACTATTCCTGAGAAGGGTCCTGTCTTAATCTACTTTTTTCTGTGTGAATTTGGATGGCACCACCCCATTGATCTTCTTTAGCTTTCTGACATGTAATAGTGAATGCAGGTCTTATCTCTTGGAACTACCCTGCTTAGGAATGTCTTATTCATGTTGTGTAACTCCAGAAGCTATTGACTAGCAATCATCTTCTACTCTTTCATAGAGTCTTCTAGCACTCTTAAAATCAACTTTGCACAGACTTTTGAGTAATCAACAGACTGCAGGTACTACCATAGCTCAACTGAAAGCTTTTACAAATTTTTAAAATACTGACTTTACTTACAGATGTAATGAAAGCATCAGTTTTAATTTTCAACAGCAGTTGGCTTGCCACTGTAGGACCTGTCACTAAGATCAGTTTCTCCTTGAAATTTCTATTAAGTCTACTGACCAATCTGCTTATTGTGCTTACATCAAGTGCAAACTTTCCATAAGCATTCACTAACTTCCAGTGAATGTTTGAAGCACATTATGGATAGAAAAAGAAAAGAGAAGATAACCCCACACAAGACACTGGCCAAAAAAAAAAAAAAAAAAAAAAAAATCCGGCCTACCACATTGTTTTTCATGCAGTGGATACACTATCAAAAATCAAAATTGATTTAATTTCAGGAATTGAAACTTAATACAAAGGAAAACTTTAGTACACATTTATTAAAAAATATTTACTAAAAAATTTAGAATCAGTAAAAAAGGCACTTAAGGTTTCTACAGTTTGTACATCTTGTTAAAAAAATCCAATAAACGGGCTTCATTTTTTTTCTTAGCATTTTCCAGCAAAAATAATCAAGGTGAAATTGTAGCATTTCAAAAGGCACTTCTCTCTTTTTATTCAAAATGTCAATTTTGGCATCCAACCTTGGGCGTTCTATTTAAGTGCATGCACCCATTTTTCGATCAACAGAGTTAGCTTAATAAAATTGTTTACTGTTTGATTACGATCGGATAAGAAACTTTAAAGAGCGGTAAGCTGGCTACTCATCAGAATATTGGGGTCAATTTCATATTCCTGTAAGAATAAGTGTTTTTTATTTTTTTTGTCTCACCTTTGGACTAAAATATCAACAATCCGATCCTTTTTTTAAAAAAAACAAAACAAAACAAGTACCCAATGTCCGTCGATACGAGCACTATAGCTCTTTTTAACAACCTTATATGAGACTTCAAAAAGAGAAGGAGATGATCAGTTCCTTCTACACCTTCCAGCAAATCGTGTTTTATCAATCTAGGTGTTTCCTCAGTGCCAACCATTTGACCTCTACTGATGCGACACAATTACTTCACAAACTTCGCAGCACGTATTGAATTGAACCAATTTATTTATGACCATGAGCTGTTTTTCCAGCTAAGTGGAGTGTCCATAACGAAGTAAAACATTGGTTCTCTAGAATTTCACTCGATTGTAACTTGCAACTCACTTTTTACCATTCATATTTGTAATGGAAAAAAAAACTGGTCGAAATACGCCTTTTCTGTTACGCTTCTTTTTTTTTCTTTTCTTCCACAACTGCATTTATGCCATGGCATATAATTTCACTTCTTGCGCCGTATTAAGGAGGTTGCGAACTTTCTGAAATGCATTTTTGATAGTTCGGTGAAATTCTTTGGCGAGCATCTTATGAGGATTTATTTATTTTCTCACTTCATTCGAGACCACTGACCCACAGAAAGACTCATGATTCAAATTTGAAATATACTTATTGCGAAAATAAATAAGAAAGAAAAGAAAAATTAATTGTGTTGAATTTTAAAACCGAAAAAAATAAATAAAATAAAAAAGTGCGATTTGGATTACTACAATAATACCAAAAATCCTAGGAATTAAAATTAATACAAAATTAAATGAGGACACACATTACTTTTTGAGCAAGCCTCGTCGTATATTATCTCTATTTGTTGAAGTGAGGAAAAGGAAAGCTTTAGTTGCGTATCATAAATAAGTTTGCTAGCTCCGCGACATTAAAACCGGTGTAAAGAAAACGTTGTCAATCCATGTGTTTTTGAGCAAGTCTGCTTTTGTATCTTTCAAAAGCATTTGTATGCTTTCTTGCGTATCAACGAAATATGAAATTATAATAACCCTTTATTAACTGTTTTGAACTTTTATTTTCTAAAGATTTAAGTATTTCTAATTCGCGACTCAACATCATGAGTGAAATTGCCGTCTCCTCATCCGGTAGGCCAAGCATGGGGCCTGTCACACTTCCCGCTGTCGCTTGTTTTGAATTCATCTTGGATGAAAGTTTATTAGAAAAACACTTGAGCGAGCCCAATCCAGGTTTGTTAATTTTATTTAACAGTATTTTTACGGAATCCATTTACATTTATGTGTGTAAATATTTATTTGTTATTGATTTTAGTGATACCGGCAAAGAAAGAACTTGATTTCCTTTTTTACCGAACTTTGTTTTTGTTTTTGATCAGCAAAAAAATGTTTTTAGCCAAAAAAAAAAAAAAAAAAAAATGTCTTAGAGTGTTAAAGTTACTATCTTACAAACAAAATATTTTTATTTATTTAATTAATTGGGACCGTCATCAAATGCAATAAGTCGTGCTTTTATTTTATTTATTTTTTTCGGTTTTAAATTTTAACACCATATTATTTATTTTTGATTGTTTTTTGTGTTTTTCTCTTCTTATTTATTTTCACAACCAGTAGACATTTTTACTTAAAAGTAAAACTTATTAATAACAAATATTTGTTGTTTTTACTCTGTAAAAGTATAATGATAAATGTCAGTTGTTATTTTTTTTTTTACTGTTTGTAGAATGTAGGTAGAGTTATAAAAAATAAAAGTAGAGATCACAATATGAAAATTGTTGGATTTTTAAAAGCAGCAAAAACCTTTACTCAGTTTCGATACCTAGGGTTTAAAAAATTTAAACCTTAGGCATTGAAATTTGGAAAAAAAAATGAATTAAAAATGAAATAAAAAAAGAGCATTCCTGACGCTTTTGATTTTAGCTTTAATTGAAAGCTAAATGATTCATTAAATTTACTATTTCCAGTAAGCAGAATACTCTCTCTGGCGTATTTCAGATATAAATTATTTATATTGATTAGAATCTAAACTTTTTGGTCGCTTTCAAAAAATCGGCCATTTTTGATACGTTTGTAAACAAAAGTTAATTCTCGATTTTAAAAATATTCTAAAAATAAAATATATATTTTTGAAACTTATTTGAGGAATATCAGCTGATTTAAAGTAAATAACCTGCTCTGAAAAAATATTAATTTACTTAAATTTCTTAAATTTATTTTAAAATAATAGAGAAATGGATAAACAGTAGCGGTGATTACGCTCTTAATACCGTCGTTTGTCACTCATAGATCACTTAACAAGTGATGATAAAATAAAATGTGTCAACGCCTTTACTGTTGTTCTACGGAGACTTTAAAACGTAATTTAAGAAAATAACAGGTGGGCTCCTCCGGAATCTAATTTTAGGAATGTTGAATTTAATTTATTGTAGTCATCGCTCTTATTTTCTGATTGTGTCGTGTATGGTCGACCATACTTTCAAACAGGGGCACATTACATAATATTTTACATAAAATATTTTTAAAATCTTGGTGCAAAATACTTTGTATTATTAAGCTTTTCAATTTCTGATTAGTAAATATAGTTTTCACTTAGCAATACACCTGTCTGAAAGTAATGCAAAATTTAAAAAGATTTACATTTTATATAAATTTTTCAAAATTAAAGAGAAATGTAAACAATTCTCGTAAAAATTCATTATTCATCGAAAAGAATGTTTTCTTAATACAATAATACTAGTGTCCTTAATAAATCTTAAAACCAAATAAAAGCTTTTCTCATTAAATAATGTCATATTACATTTTATTTTTTATTTTACGATTCGGAACAGATTTTCGGGAAATGAGCAGTCGTCTGGAAAAATATGAGGATTTACATTCTCCAAGGAGTTCCGCTTTTAACTAATAAAACAAATTTTGAGATTGAAATTTAATTTCAATTAAGTTGGGGTAATTATGTAAAAAATAAAAAAAAAGTATTTTTTACCAAGATGTTCTAAAAAAAAAAAAAAACTTTCAAAACTAAATTTCATTCATTTTTGAATAAGTCCTAAAAGTTTCATTAAAATCCGACAATTATTTGATTTTTACAAGAACTTACAAATTAATGTGTTCTTCACCTGAAAAAAGCGCTAAAAACACTAAACGTAAATTACGTAGAGACCCCTGACGTAAAAAAAAATAATTTTAACCAAAATTTCGAACATGCTCTTGAGTAGAAAGGATTAAAAAATTTAATAAAATAATAAAAATACTTTGGTCTTTCTTAAACATTTTGACGATAAAACTTTGTTTTTAAGTTTTGGGCTTTTTTCATCATGCTATCGATGCTGTTTCGTTTTTTTTTGTTTTTTTTTTTCCTACGACAAAATTGAGGTACCTAATTTTTTTCTCAAAAATAAAACTAAAAGTCAAATACATGTTTAGTTTACGATTCATACATGAGTAAAAAATCTTAATAATTTTTTAAAGTTTTTAGTTAATATAAAAATTTCTGGTATTTTTGCAGTATGGTGATAGAGGTATTATTTTTGCACAACTTAAATAAAGATTTGTATTTTCAATTTTACTTCTGAAAGCTTGAAAGCAGGATTGGTAGATAAATTCACTTCTCTGTATTTTATATTATAAAGAAAAATGAAGTGCTCAAACTTTTTTTTTTTTTTATATGTAAAGAAAATAAATTCTTATCTGATCCTAGATTTATGATGGGAGAAAATTGAAAGTAAAAATATTTTTGAAAAGTAAAAAACCTTATTCTTCGTCAAGTGATATTTTTTTTTCGTAGGTACACAGATGATTTTCTTTTCTTTGTTAAAGCCTCTCAAATCTTTGAATCATGGGACAGGTGGAAACTTTGCATTTTGTCATTTAGTTGAGAGTCGAATTAATATTTGGAAAGATTATGATGTTTTTATTACCACTCTGATGAGTGTAAAAATATTTCAATAAAAGAACATTGACAAAATAAAAGCAAGGCAGTCCTTAAAATTAGCTAGCCATAAAAATCGGAATTCAATTAATTTTGTCAGTCTTCTTGTGGAGTTGTGCAATAGGCACTGCTATCAGAAATAATTATTTTTTGCATTTCTTTACATATATCATTATCACTATACTGCACTCCAGATCACGAAAAGAAAATTAAAGTTAATAAAAGTTAATAGCGGGACTAGTTTTGCCATGTAAATTTATTCCCCTAAAGAAGCCAAATCAAATAAGCTCATCATACAAACATGATTTCCTAAAATGTAAAATAATAATAAAAACTGAAATTTATAACCAGAGTTTGTTTTTTCCATATATTAATTTTGATTAAGCACTCCAATTTACAAATTTAATATATATATATATATATATATATATATATATATATATATATATATATATATATATATATATGAAAAATATAATCTTAAGATGTGCTATATTTATGGGATAAAGTGCTCAATATCAGATAAAGTGTGTGTAAATATAAAAGCACTCGTGGCCTGACGATTGCATCTAGCATGAAATAGACTGTTGCCTCTAAGTGTTGACTTCTATGTTCACTATATATATATATATATATATATATATATATATAATTACATTATAAGAAATTATGAGCATATTTTGTTTGGGTTTCCATAAGGAGATTAATTTAGACTAGTCTATCGTGATGTGAAAATAAAAATTTGAACAGCTATCATTTATGGTTGCAGTACCTGCTGTACAACTCCACCAGTCCTCTGTGTTGTCATCAAATTCAAACTTGATAACTGCTAAAAGTAATTTTTTGATTCAGTTAAGTACAACAGTAAACTATCAACATCATGATGTTGACAATGATTTTCTTTTTAGAATTGTTTTTTCTGTCAAACATTATATGTATGACTTGTTTCTGTTCTCCAGATCCAACACCTGGTCAGATGATTGTGAATTTTATGCAACAGGCTGAAGCTCAGAACAATGCAACACTTCCTACTCACAATAAGGGTGACATGGGTAATAATCACACAGGCTCTGCCGATGTTAAATCAGAAGATATTCCAGGTAAGTTGTATGTGTCTTAAAACTAATTTTTCTAAATGCTTCTAATTTAGTTTCTTATATTTACTTTTGTTAAATGAACTACAAAATAATTGTGGTTTGTTATAAAACTTCTGGAGTTACTCATGAAACTCCTCAGGGATATTTATTAAATTAAAGACACAAAGACAGTCATATCTTTTTTTATCTTTTCTTTTTTCTGCTTCCTTTCTTTTCTCCTCTTCCTTTCTTTTCTTTCCTTTTCAATATCAACCATAGTCCATTAATTCATTTCATTTATACATATATTATTATATTTTAAAAAAATTTGTTTTTTGTTGATTTAACTTTTTTTTCACAGAAATATATTTCTCTTGGGATCCCAAATTAACATTTTACATTCTGCATAGAAATTGTTTCAAAGTAATTAAAATAAAGAGTACTTGTCGATATAATTTTCTTTTAAATTTATTTATGCATTTTTTGCATGAAAAAAACACAAATTTGGGTTTAATTATTTAATATATAATTAATTTAAATATTTTAATGTCGATGAGAAGACTTTAGCTAACAGAAATGTGGTTCTACAGAAAGATGCTGAGAATACCATGAAGAGTGTATGTAAGGTATCAGGCACAAAAGACAGTCTAAAAAGATGTCTTACATGATGGACAGAATACAAGTCAACAAGTCTGACTGTGATGACATCATCAGTCAGTACAAAGTTTGAGGAGGAGGCTGCTGGAAATATTGCCTTCAAGAATTACAGCAAGCATGAAGATCGTCTGGACCCTTTGTCTAGCAACAAAGAATATCAAAAACTGGAAAGTTGTTTGCAGATTGCTGGTAGTCTTGTGGATAGGCCTCAGTGGAGAGAGGTTTATCAATCAATAAGGAAATTTCTACTGACAATATGAAACAGCAGACTCTGGTCGCACTGCATATTATCACAGACTATTTGGCCGCAGTTGGAAATGCTGGCAATATTCCCATGACTAAAGCTCAGGAGTGCTTCCACTGCCAGAACAGCATACAACCAATACTTTCAAAAATTTATTACTGGTAATATTTTTTTCAAAAATGTACAGCTGATAATATCTTTTGTTTCCAAAAATGTACAGCTGGTAATATCTTTTGTTTCCAAAAATGTATCACTAGTATTAAAACCTATTTTTACATTTTCATAGTGTTTTGACCCCAGATGGAGGTTAACTATTTACCCATAGCTGGGACCCTAACAGATGCTATCACCCCTGGTCAGGGTGGACCTGGGAACATGAGCAATTAAGAGGTGGTCCCACGCTCTTCAAAACCTCCTATTCAGAGTCCATGCTGTTTGATGTAGTTTGTCTTACTCAGGACATTGGGCCAACAGGTTATTTAATGCCAATAAAATTTTAATTGCAGGTAATATTTTTTATTTTTTTCAAAAATGTAGAGCTGGTAATATCTTTTGTTTTCAAAAATGTATTGCTGGTAATTTTTTACAAAGTATTTCTGGTATTAAAACCTATTTTTACACTTTTATAATGTCTTAACCCCAGTTTGGGTGTTAACTATTTGCCTATAGTTGGGATCCTAACAGGTGCTACCATCCTGGGTCAGGGTGGACCTGGGAACATCTGCAATTAAGAGGTGGTTCCATGCTTCTCAGAACCTCCTGATCAGAGGCCTTGTTGTAGGATGTAGTTTATCATCTTACTCAGGATGCAGCTATGTGGAGAAAGCTGAATACCTTGTGAAGATCTGCAACGGTCAAGTCCATAGAGAAGTCCTTGGAAGAGGAGCTGAATGTTAAACTAAATGAACTGAAAAAATGTTAACATCATTGTGTTCTATGCTATGAGCAATGAAAGCCATGACTACTAGAGGTAACTAAAATGGGAAGTCTTTTTGTGAAAATTTCTATTTGTAGTTCTGATCATTAAAACCTTAAATTCACAGGAAATGTGCAGCAGTGAAGAATTTTTGTGACCTTCACAAACCATGTGTAGTCTAGATAGTTGAATGTGTAGCAATAAGAATTAAAGTATATAATTCAAAATTTTCAAGTTAGAACTCCTAACTGTAGAATGCTACACAAAATGTGTAATGTAACCAGGTCTGCATTCAGTTGTTTTAGCCTTCAACACATGAATTTCTTCACTGCTTTCAACTGATCCATGTAACATGAATTGTTGGAACCAGCTGTAAATTTTCTTTGAACATCTCATCTGTTAACCTATGAAAAGAAATCACAAATTTGTGTTTTTTGCAATTGGTGACGTTTCACTTCATGCACACCAGTTTCAGTTCTTGAAACTTATTAACATAGTCCTGGAAAAGTCCTGGAATTTTTTTTTTTTTTTTTTTTGACACAGATCTGCAAGAACATTGTATCAAGCTAAATTTCTATACAGATGTTTATATTTTGCTATGTTTCTCCCTTTCAGAGTTTAATGAGAACAAACCCACTCTTCCTTTATCATATTAAAAACAAAGATCAATGGATATATCTCTCTCTCTCTCTCTCTCTCTATATATATATATATATATATATATATATATTAATATTAAAAATTATGCCTATTAATCCATTAAATTTTTGGACCAGACCAATTGCCAATAAACTATCCTGGACATTTTGTGTAAATTTCACTATTTCAGAACTGCAGATGATTAATATAAAGTTGCTCATGAATGGTACGTTTGGCCATCTAATTCTTATTACTATATCAGAGACTCAAAACAGAAATGTAATTCTACAGAAGAATGCTATGGACTGAACACCTGAGCAACAACAAAGTTTTAGAGAAAATGTAAACAAAAAGGATATTTGTACGTAACATCAGAAAGAGACAGTAGAAACATCTTGGGCACATCTTACTTATTATAAAACGCAGGTTGTGTGTGTGTGTCTCTGTAACGTTTATATGTTGGATCGAATTTCCTACATTTTTTAGCCGATTTCAACGAAACTTTACAGGACTACATAAAATTACCTTGTGGTGGTTCTAACGGGGCCGAAAATGGGAAAAATACAGTTGTTTTTTAATAAAATCAATTTGAAAACACGATTAAGACACATCGTGAGAATGAAAGGGGGAGAACTCGCCCACGAAAATGTAAACAAAAGAGCATAGCATGATGAAAAAGACGCCGAACTTGACGAAAACAAAATTTTATCGTCTAATGTTCATATTATTATTAAAGAGGAAAGATCAAAGTATTTTGGGGGTATTTTTTTACATTTTTTAATCGTTCCTAGCACGTCTGAAATTTTCGTTAATTTTTTTTTTTTTTTTTTTTTTTTTTTTTGGTAAAAAAAAAGGGCAGATAATCATTTTAAATCATTTTTTTCGATTTGATAAAAAAGATTAAAATCTTACTTTGATATTCTTTTAAAAGTCAATTATCATTTTTTCAAAACTGATTTTAATAAAAACAGAAATTATACTGTTTATTTAAAATATTTTGAACCAAGCTTAACTTAGCTTCTGCGCCAAAAAAATGTAATTTGAAAATAAAACAAAGCAGGTCATAACCTTTCGCGTCGCTTGATGATTGATGAAAGGCACATTCATGACGTTTAGATAACTTACGTGAGGAGAATTCTTTCTCTGGGATGGAAGGAAGTGAAATTATTTAAGTGAACAAATTATTTACCTTGTTACTTTTAAGGAAAACTTTCAGCGCTCTAATTTTTTATTTTTTATTTTATTTTTTTTTTTTTTTTTGTACTTAGCTTTCATTTTTACGTTTACGATGCTTTATGGAAAATATAAAGAAATTAAAAAAAATAAGACTATTAATAGTGAGATTAAATTTCATAAGAAAAAAGGTATCTAATTAATTTAGGTATCTTTCTTTTGAAATTTTATCAGAAGTATTACATAAAATACTATAATTTTATGTACATTTATTACATTTTACTGTGTTATTTGTATTTCCATTCATTTTATTATTAATTATGATATTTCATTTATGGAAAAATGTCATAACTGAGATTAATATAAAAAATAAGATCATATAAATTAAAGTTTAGCAGTAGTTAAATTTCATAAGATGATACTGTTACTTGTAGGTACCCTTCTCAGTTGAAATTGAAAACTCAAATTAACTTCTCCATACGTGTTTTGCAAAAGTAAAGGGCTTAACAGCGGAGAAGAATGCTGAACTCAAATAATGCAACTAAATTGTATTCTGGTTGGTCTTCCGTACTTGATAATTACTGTCCGACTATAAACACAAAAAAATACATTTCTTAATTACCATGGCTAATCTGATTGGTCCAAATTATACAATTTTCAAAGTGCTGAACAATGACAATCTCACACGGACATTTTGAAAGGTTGATGTTGCTTTTAACTAATGTTAAAATATTTTTTAAAATTCAATTTAAACATTTTTTAAAAATCTTTTTAAAATTAAAGAAATAAGAAATAATTGTATTAAAAATTCAATTTTCATTGAAAAAACGTTTTGCTTTCAGAAAATATTGTCCATATTCATAAAAACAAATTAAAACAAATAAAAGCATTTGAAACTAAATAATATATTTGTTTTATTGAGTTTTGTATGTTACAATTCACAGCTGATTTTCAGGTACGTTGGCCAAAAAAAAAAACAAAAAAAATGATTTGCATTCTTCAAAGCCTTGTGCTTTTAACTATTGTAATCACTAAAACCGATGGTCTCAATTTCTAGAGTTTTTCATAAAATTAGTTATGGGGGTGTTAATAAATATAAAAAAAATATTTCTGCCATGACTTTAATAAAAAAAAAAAAAAATATATTTATAATAATTTCGATCATCTGTGAATAGTTTCTGAAAGTTTCATTAACATTTGACAATTATTTTTATTTTTGCAAGATTTTCCAAATTAATGTGTGTAAATACAAAAAATGTGCTAAAATTATCTGTTATTTACTACCCCTTGTTTGACACAAAGAGAAACAAGGTTTTTAAATCAAAATTTAGAATATTCTAAAAAGATGGAAAAATTTTTAAAAATAATTAAAAAAAAATTTAGTCTATCCTCTTCATAAAAAAATAAGCATTTTGACGATAAAATTTTGTTTTCATAAACTTTGGCGTCTTTTTTCATCAGACTATGCTCTATGTTTTAGCGATTCCATGGAGTGACTTAGGTTAAAAACCCAGGTTGTGTGTGTGTGTGTGTGTGTGTGTGTGTGTGTGTGTGTGTTCTTTTATATATGGGATTGGATTTCTTACATTTTCAGCCGATAAAACAAACATCCACTTTTTTTTTTTCGGCAGGTAGTATTTCTTATTGTCTTGCACACTTTTTTCTTTATTTACATTCAGAATGCTTTAAAAATTCCATTTACAAGTTTATAATAAAATTCTATTCACCAATCGATAGACTCATAACGATTGTTAATAATGTTTTTGTTTGAATTTGGGTTTGACCAATTCGTAAAAAAAAAAAAAAAAATTAAGACATGCGTGTCCGTCAACCTTAAACAATAATCTTTGTCAATTTTATTTTTCAGTCTTTATGATGGTCGATACTTGATCTATCTCTTACTGTTACATCCCCGGGCAACGCCGGGCTCTATTGCTAGTAATGAGTAAAGACGACTGACAAATTTGACAATCAGAGGACATATTGAAGGCAAGAGAAACAGAGGAAAGCAGTGCATAACCTACCTAATGAGCTTCAGTGATTAAGAGATCTAGCAAAAAGACAAACTTTATTAAGGGATACAATGAATATGAAATTGTAGTGCACCATGATCATCTGTGTCCTGAAGGAACACAGTATATAGAAGTAGTAGTCATGGCAGCAGTGAGATAATGTGTGATGAACATGTCAGTACAAACACAATAGAGACCTTGAATCACATGTGGACATGTCTGTCATAACCAGTTACATCTGTTTTTTTCCTCATTAGCAGCAGAACAGCTTGGTGTGTCCATATCTGGGCCTCTCTGCAACTTGTCCAGATCCGGGTTTCTGTCTCCTGTCAATAAAAGTGATGGTAAAACCAACAGTGGACAATTGACGAGACTTCTGTGTGTTGTGAAGTCATTCCTTTGGGCAGTTTGTTCCTGAAGTTGTGTGCTGCTTGCTATACTGTGGTATCTGAGACAGTGTTCTTTTTGTTTCTTCCCATCTGTTTCCCTTCTCTGCCTGTTACCCTATAGTTTACTCTTACCGCAATGCACCCTTGACCTATTTTTACAACATAATCATTTTACATAAAGTTAATGGTAACCATATTCACATCTGATAGATTTTGATTGTTATTTCTGTCTATCTTCATACAGGCACAAAACTGATTCCAATTATGTGCAGAAATACATGTACCAAATGTGCTGACATTAGATTTACCTTATTCCTAAGGTATAGAGCAGGACTACAGTAAATAATGTTTCAAGCTATTTTACAGTTGAAAAAGAATGAAGTACATGAAACTATTAGTTTACCAGTACTACCTGAATTAGTTTACAGTGATTCAACATTAGTGTTGTATCACTAAACCTGTACAATGGTTTCAAATAGTTAAAGATATTTTGTAACCTACTTTCTTTGATGTAATCAATAAAGGTATTTACCATAGATATTTTATTTCAGATTTTGATTTTTACTTTCTGTGTTAAATGTATAGACATTGACACTAACTGTATGTTACCATAATGTATGAATATACCTGATATCTTCTTTATTTTACCTATTATTGCTCTTATTTCTTTCTTACCATTCATCTTTGTTTCATTCAAAGAAAACAAGCTCCCAGGATTTAATAAGAAGGTGAAAGCATTGAAGATTCTGGCACTTAAAGTGGCTGCCTTTCTGAAATGGGATCTGGAAATTCTTGGCAAAAGGTGAGTGTACATTTAATTCCATTATTTCATTTGACCAACTAAAAAAAATGATTATAATTGTGACACTATTTAGCTATAGTAACTGATTAACTAATTAACCATAAAAAAATTAAACAAGAAATACTAGGAACAGAAAAAGATATCTCAAAAGATATACCATTTGAAATTAAAAAGTTTTTATTTTAATTTCCCAAAACGTTACTTTTCTGAAAAACCCGAGAATTGGCGTAAACAGTGGACTCACAAAAAGGCCATATGTGAGCTTTTGACAGTTGATTAATGATGTTTGTAAGAGTACTGGTTAAAGAAAAACCAAGAACAAGATATCATTTGAAATTGCAAGATTTTAGAAGTCGACCAGGTGATGAGGCCATATGTTGATTGTAAAAATTTTGGCATGAGAAAATATTCCAAAATATTTGCCGATATGGAGTAGAGAGAATTACCATTATTTATTTTTCCAAGATATCATCTCAAGTACCAACAAGGCAAGGCCACATGTTGATTATAGAATTTAGGCATGAGAAAATATCTCGAAAGAATTGCCGATTTGAAGATAAAGAGATTTATTTGACAATTGATTGATGTTGTTTGTAGAAGCACGGGTTAAGAAGATGCAAAGTGGCCTGGAGTGTCAAAGATATCAGAGATTTTTAAAAGGACAGAGCCATGTGTTATTCATAAGAATTTTGGCCGGTGAAAACAAGAATTTTGTAAACAAAAATTCTAGTTTATAATTTTAATGAGGCCAACTTAGCCATACCCACATGGCCAGGATGCCATTGGTCGGGTGGTAGCAATGGTGATGGGCAAAGGTAATTTGATGAGAAAGACAGGGAAATTATTAACACCCACTGAAAGGATTTGGTATGAACTACCAATGTGATAAGGAGGGAGTTTGGGAGGATAGCTATCCTGCAACCTCTCCTCATGCCTGAAGGGATCCCCACAAAAATGGGAAGTAATTAATTTTCCCATTTTGGGAAGTAATCAATTTTCCTAGCCAGAAAACTAAGAGGTCCCTTGTCAGAAATTGGGATTTACCAAAAACCTCAGGCTGCATCTAAATCCCGCACCAGTTTTTGGTCAGTGTTCCTATAAGTGAGCGCCCTTGGGCAGTTCACCAGAGTATTTGTTGAGAAGTTTTAGCTGGTGTTGAACTAGTTGCATCTGATGTGAAGCCATTTGAAATCATCCGACGCATCACACTTGGTGCCCTGACCAAAGGATCCCGCTGGGCAGCAACAACCACCGATCAACTGGGACACAGGTTGGTGGCAGTAACTAAGAGTCAACCCCAAAATGCTGGTAAGAGAAATATCACAGTTTTGCGCCATGACTTGGGGTTGACCACAGGCTGACAACTCAGTGTCATACAATTGTGCTTTTAACTGAGTGTTTTTTCATTAGGAAGTAGTCTCTGTCCAAAGCCTCATACATACATATATACACATTGTGCAATAATTCATTGTGTCCATGTTCTTATTTTGATCATTGTCATAATTACTGATTTTGATTATTATTTGAAGGCATATTTTTTTCAGCCTGTTTTTCTTTTTCTTTTCTTTTTTTTTTTTTTTTTTTTTATAACAGTGTGCTGAGAACTTCTCAGCACAACCTAGAAGCTCTTCTAAAAAATCTGATGTTTGATTATTTGGCTAGGTTTTGGGAAGTGGGTTGGCAGAGAACTTTCAGCACCGCCCTCATAATGTTCTAGTCTTGGTTAAAGCTCATCCCTTGCCTTATGACTTCTGTTTTCTTTTAAGGATTTACAAATTTAATTTAAAATTTGAATTTGAATTTCAAAAAACTTTTTGCAATTTTTAGGTAGCCATATGTTTCTAACAAAAGGGTTTAAAAATTTGATTTAAAATTTTTGAAATTAACATTAAAATATAATTTTAAATTTAATTTCATTAAAATTATTTCACTTATATTAAACATATTTGGATTAGATGCTGTCCATTCTCTTCAAGTAGTCCTGGGTATGATGATAATCTATATCTGGAAGCAAGGCGTCTGATCAGGAGATTGGAGGTTTTGAGGAGCATGGAACCACCTTTTAACTGTTGTTGTTGTTGTTCCCATGTGACACTGCGTTGTCGGCCAGGGGTCAACTCTCAGTCACGGCACGAAACTAATGTTTCTTCCACTGGCATTTTGGGGTTGACTCTTAGTCACTGTCACCAGCCTGTGTCCCAGTTGATTGGTGGTCGTCGCTACCCGGCGGAGTCCCTTGGTCAGGGTACCAATATGTGATACTGGCCCGGCCCGGGTTGAATCCTAGTTATCGCTACCCGGCAGAATGCTTTGGTCAGGGTACCGAGTGGGATGGTTGTTTGATGCTAATGGCTTCACACCAGCTGTAACCGGTTCGACATCAGCTCCGTCGTTCCCAGCTCACTTCCAACATCTGGTTATCGAAGTAACTGCTTCGATCTCAAGTCTAACCTAATTTTTATGACCGCCATATGGTTTGCCCGATATCTCAATGCTTCGCTTTTTCCGAATCCCATGTTTCTCTTGGTAAGGCATTTCTTTACAACAATATTATAATAATTTTTCAATAACTAATATGTAATGTTTTATAATTAAAGTTTACAAGTTGATAATAAGTATTTTGCTGATTTTTGAAGACTACAATAAATACTTATGGGAGAAAAATGATTAAAACTATCTCCTTTTAGTATCAAAACAAAAGCACATAATCACTTCTTATATGATTTAAGGCTTTTGTTGATTGCATTGAAATTAGGATTTTCAGATAGCTTACCCAAAAGGATGTGGAAATGACAAGCGGAGTTCAAATTCAAGTTTGGTCTGTTGTATTCACTTTTGTGAAAGGCATGAATCCATCTCTTCTCCTGTCAGCTATTGGTTAAATAACAAAGTAGACTGGTCTCTAGCATTGGGAGGCAGCCAGTGTAAGAGAAAGAGTAGTCTGAATTCCAAGTTAGTGGGTAACCATTCCACTATCTTTCACAAGAAAGCATGGTGATCCACAGATAATAAAGAAAAGGAGAGCCATGATCATCCCTACATCCTGAAAGGACATGGCATTTTTCATTTATTTATTCATTTTTTTTTTTTTTTTTTGTAAAGTTAGTTCCAACTCTATATGTATACAGGAGGATGGGCTGAACTAAGAAATTAAAAAAGTTTCTCATATTTGTTCAGGTTTTGGGAAGTAGATCAGGCTGGAAACTTCTCAGTGGTTGTTTGTTGAAATTTAAATTTTCAAATCAGAATTTATAGTTCACTACATTTATCACAATTTATTTTTATTTTTTACAGTATTCCTCTAACAATGGCCCAGACATTGCTACTTGAACTGGTTCGAGCCACTATGGGCAATGGTAGTATTGAGAAAGTGAACACAGTCCTGGATTTCAGCAGTCTTTCTGATGAGGCTGCCTTTGCTGTTCAGCTCTTCCATAGATGGTATGCATCCAAGATATTTCTTTATATTTTGTAGACAGTTTTTATTTTGAAGATGCAATATACACACACACACACGCACACATATATATATATATCTTATGTTTCATTAAAGACAACAAACAAGGTACTGCGATTAAGCTTTTTATTTAATTTTTCTTGTGTTTGAAGTGTTTTCCATTTTGGACACTGTGTGTAGAAACTGTCCAAATGTTCTGTAATTCTGAATGCTTTCGGCTATACTTTTAGCCATTATCAAGGATCATTTTATTTTTTACTTTTTAACTAGATGTATGGGTTGTGTGTATAGAAAGCTATGGGCATCTAGTGAATTCCCAAACAAAAACAAAATACTATGAAAGTATAAAAATACATTTTCATAGTGAAAATACCAGCAATACCTATTTGTGCTGAAATTACCAACAATACGTTTTATCTGTAGTTGAAATATATTTAGTTGAAGCTATAAAATTGTGTTCAAAATATTTAGATTTCAGCATTAAATAACCCATAGAAGTTTTGATATGCCTCTAAAAAAATAAGATCAACCAACCAACTTCTAGCATACAGTAAAAGTAACTCCATTGGGAGCATGGGTATATCTTTCCTCTCAGAGATTGAACATTTACACACACACACACACACACACACACACACACGTCACCAACACAATTCTTAATTTTTAATGTTTTCTTTCTTTTGCTTGCTTGTATGCATGCAAAAGAAAGAGAACAGTGTATTTTCTCTCTTGTTATTCTGATATATAAAAACACATCATCTTCTTGAAATTGTCTTCCATTTCCTTATACTCATCATTTACATGTGCGAAATATTGTTGCCACTGCTTTTAGTCTAATTAGAAGCAGTGCCTGAATCAACTTCAAGGCCACACATTGACTGGGCAAAAGTAATTGATGAAGTCCAAAGGGAAATAAACAGTAATATTTCACATATAAGAGATTCTCATTTTTTTAATTTATAATACACAATGATAATGTTACAATTGGAATGAGTCATGTCTTTTCTAATTCTCAGGTGTATAGAAACAGTTGTCATGGATACTTTTCCGAACAGGCCTCAGAAAACTAGTTTTGTGTCTGTGTAAGTATTGATTATAATTGTGAAGAAGAATCAGCACTAATTTATAAGAATCCATTTTCAACAAGCTCTTTGGTTACTTAATTGCATCTTTTTTTTACTTTCTATATGTGTTACATGAGAGTAGGACTGAAATGTTTTCAATTTAAATATCACATATAAAAAGAAATTGGATCATTTGGTCAGATTTTTTAAAAATTACTTTTCTGCGCCCCCTGATATTTGTGTGGTGTGTGTGTGTAGGGGGAGATTATTTAACCCAGATCGGCTGAAGATACAGGAAAGTTGAAACCAAGGTAGCATGAGTGGCTAATCTAATTTTTTCAAATATATATATATATATATATATATATATATATATATATATATTGCTTGAACATAAGCTTCAGGACATGTTCAGAAGATTATGTTCAAGCATGAAACAGATTGTCACAGCTCAATTTTGATCTCAGTGTCAACTTTTATATTTACATATGCTCTATCCCTGATATTGAGCAATTTTACCCATAAATATTGCCTGTCCTGGGCATGACGATAAACTACATCCACGTCCAGGGTAAGACGATAAACTACGTCCAACAGCAAGGCCTCTGATCAGGAGGTTTTGAGGAGTGGGGAACCACCTTAATTGCTGGTGTTCTCAGTTCAACCCTAACCTGGGGTGGTAGCACCTGTTAGCACCAAAATATTACCAGGAAAAAAAAAAGTTATTCCATTCACCACTATTACTGTATACACTTTCGACTCCCTTGGCAATGTTTGTTTTTACCAATGCAATGATTCGAATTCTAATAAAACCCAAACATGCAAATGGATTTATACATTTCTTTTTCTTGTAATTTTTATAAAAATGTAATTTATTATAAATTTTTGAATAAAGATTTCTTTTCAAATTTTAATTATTTATAAAATAAGTAAGTAAATCTTTATAAAAGGTAAATAACTATCGTATTGTACTTGGCTCATATTACCTTAATGTAAACATTGACAACATATGAAATAGATTAAGCTTGACAATTATTTAATATATTTTCTGTTTATATGTTATTTTAATAGATACATTTTATTTAAGTAAATACTCTGTTTTTTAAATAAGCAGTATTAATTACATTTACTAGCCTTGAATGTTCGAGAAATTTTGTAGAAATATTTTCTACAAAATTTCTTATGTTGTCAATGTTTACATTAAGGTACATTTCATGAGCAGATATGATCATTCGGGAAAGATTGTTGAAGTTTTGTTGTTTATAAACAGTGATCAAGACTTTGCTAACCAGACACTTCTTTGTGGTTGAATGGTTAACAGCACATCAGATAAAATGAGTTACAGGTTCGATTCCTGTCAGAGAAGCACATATTTTCTATAAAATTTCTCAAACATTCAGGCTGGCAAATGCAATTAAAATTGTTTATTTAAAAAAAAAAACAGAGCATTTACTTAAATAAATTGTATCTATTAAAATAGCATATAAACAAGAAATATATTAAATAAATGAACTTAATCCATTTCATATTTTGTCAATGTTTATGTTAAGGTAATATGAGCCAAGTATTATATATATATATATATATATATATATATATATATATATATAAAAATGTGTTTGCTTTATCTTCCAGACCTGGTATTCAAGAAGCCATGTTTACTCTGGCTGGTATCAATGAATCACTTGTCCGTTTGGTAAGTAATACTTTTCTGGTGGACACTTATACTTAGCATCAGAAAGAGACAGTTCAAATTACTAGGCCACATAATTAGGAAAGATGGCTCAGAAAATTTGACACTCACAGGACGTTGAAAACAAAAGGAACAGACGAAAACCCTGCATAACCTACCTGATAAGCTTGTCTAAATACTTGGCAGAACAGGGATTAGGAGATATAGCAAAAAGACAAATATAATAAGTGTTACAAGGGGCAGGAAATAGAGAGCTATGATCACCCACCTCCAGAAGGGATATGGCATATAGTAGTAGTAGTAGTAGTAGATTCTGATTTCCCTCCTCAAGAAAGAATAACTTTTGATGAAACTGTAAAATTTCTCTTTCTCTCTATACCTATAGAATTGCAATATTATTCTTACATTGCAACTCAGCAGGAATACAAGGAAACCTATAATTTATGGAGAGTGCAAGTTTAGTACTCCTGTGATTCTATGATTTAATAATTATCTCACAGTTTTTATTGCAATTATTAAGTCATTATTGTATGAGAGTTAATTTAGCAGGATGGATCAGAAACAAAAAAAGCAGCCTATGACAAGATTTGAACTCTCCTCTCTTGCTCTTTCAAGAAATTAGAATTTATTCAATTAAAAAGAATACTGATACATTGATAATTCTTACTTTAAATGCATAAATATATATTTAATCTTGGATTATTCCATGAAGTCTCTCTCTCTATTTATTATATATATATATATATATATATATATATATATATATATATATATATATATATATATATATAATATATATTTTATATATTTTTATATATATATATTTTTTTTTCAGATAGAGTATATCTATAAAAGGACAATATGGAAACTCATCTTAGCTAACATGTCTCCTCCTACTAAAGGAAAAAATTGTACCTTCCAACAGGATTCAAACATGTCTCCCTTTTTCCATCAGGGGAAACCACTTGTCTAGTTGAATCCTGTTGCTACAAGCTTGGCCACAGGAAGCCATCTTGAATAAGATGTGTATTCCTTAAATAGGTAATTCAACAAAATGTCTAAGCACTGGCATACTGCAATGATTGCTAATGGTATAGTTATAGTATGTGCTGCCCAGAGCAGCCCTTGATTTTGCTGCTCCACCCGGCCTGCACAAAAAATACATATTGCTTAGTGACTCACTCTTATATAAGAATAAAGTTATAAAACTAGTTTGTGTACCATTATAATATTACTTTCACATACTCAAGTATAGCATGCTTTAAATATGCACCAAACATAAACTTTATCAGTAACAACATAAAAATGACATATGGGGGGGAAAAAAAAGTGTAAAAAAAAAAAATTAAGACATTCTTATGTCTGAAATGAAAATTACAACTGCCTACAAAGTAACTTTTCTTGCTTTTTTGTTTGTAAATTCTTCAATGATATTGTCAAAAACTATTTTGTCTGTCAATTGTCACTCTCTATGACAGTAGGATAGGCCAATATATGTGCCCATAGTTTAAGTTACTTGAAATCTAAAATATCCTTCAACTGTTAGTACTGTCCTGACATTAAAACCACTTTTATTTCAATACAGACTTATAGCCTATAGCAGACACAGAAGTGCCACCCTCATAAAAGTGTGTCTTTGGACAGACTGTTCCCTCCAGCTATGCCACTGCTAATGAGTGTGCACTTAGGAAAACAGCTGTCCTTGTGCAAACAGTAGCAGTTACAAACTTTTATTCCCTTGACTGGATTCAGTCATATTCCCTTTGGCCATTAAAGCACTCATGATGAGCAAGATCAAACATTCATCTTATAATATGTCCCTTGCATGATGATTTATATGTGGCAATTTTCTATTTCCTTGGATTTATACTTTTCTGTTTCAGTTAAAAGATCAAATAAAGAGTTCTGTGGACAATCTGAAACTGTTCCTTAAACATTGTCGAGACCAAATGGTCCCTACTCTCCAGTACTTCTGTGTTCCTACAGAAATTTCAAATCCAACTGATAACCACTCAGAAAAAGGACTCAAAGTACCTGCTAATGAATTCAAAACTCAGGTAAGTCTTTCATTAGTATCCCCACAAGTTGTTTCTTGTAGCATTTTTTTTGTTTGCTTCTGATAGTGGCAAACCTACATTTTTGGGGCCCAGAAACTTGAGCATATATGGGGACCCATTTGCAGCTAGCAACAATAGATTCAAGGATCCAACTCTCAAAATGTAGGCTATGAATAGATTCTGGGAAGTTTAACAGGCCTGTACAGCTGGTGGTTCAGGTGCTGCAAACTTCACAAGGAAATTTTGAAATTCACCAATTATCAGGCAGTGTTTTGCCAGGTAGTTTTGAGGCCATAGGAAATTGATATTAGAACATATTCTAAGGCCAACATTATCTACTTTGAACCATTGGCTTATGATTCTATCACTAAAATTATTTTAATAACAAACACTTAAATAAAAAACACTGATTTTTGTTGAAACATTTACTCATTAAAAAAAAATGTTGCTTCAGGGGCCTCTCTAGGATTAGGGGCCCTGAAGCTTAAGCTTCATAATTTTAATAGTAAATCTGCCACTGGCTTCTGCTGAGTATTTGCTTAATAGTTTTTTATTCAGTTCTTTTATGAAACGTGATTATTGAAATGAAATATCCTAATTGCTTGTTATCTTTTTCAGGTTTCTTATTCATTGGGAATGTATTTTTTCCATCTGGAAGAATACACAGAAGCATATGAAATGTTTAAACTTACAGAGGAGGCATTTGTGCCTGTGAGTTTCTCCTATTTTAGTTTCCAAAACTTTGATATTTTTTTTTCTCTTTCTTATATTTAGGCTCTTAATAATTTTTATTTTAAACAATTGATTTCATTTCTGTGTTCATTATTTTCTATTTAGATGGGTTTTATGATTTTACTATAATAATTTGTGTGCATAATTATTTTTAGGCTTTTGCAATTATGAAGACATAATTTCTTTCTGGATTTCTGGGATGAGAAGTTATCATTATTTACATGTGGACTATTGTCCTCATCTTTGTTGTTGTTATCACAACATTTTAGCCATTGTGCCCTCTGTCCTTCATCAGGTGTATGTTGATCCATGTAACCTACAGGGAATTCCAAACTGAACCCTTTATTTGATCTATTTATTTAAAAGTGATTGTGAGTTCAGTCACTGGGCTGAGCAGTGTGTACTTGGACTCAGTGTAAACAGGGTGAGTAATAACTGAGCAGTACTAAAATGAGAATTAGACAAGATATCCCCACACACAGGCAGTCAAACAAGAACAATTTAACCCTGTAGATTAAATAAAGGATCGAGTTGGAAATTCCCTGAAGGCTACCTAGATCAATATGCACCTGATGAAAGCTGGAGGGCATAATAGCTGAAATGTTGTGAAAACAACAATAAAGATGAGGATAATAGTCTGTATTAGATACAGACTATTGTCATCATATGTCAATATGAAGGCAGAATTTTTTTTTTTTTTTTTTTTTTTAATTAATTAATTTCCCCCTACTGATTTATTTTCTTTCATGTTTGTTCTGATTTTTCAAATATTCAACTCCACTTTTTTCACTAAGATTTTCGATACCTAAGGTTTAAAATGACTTTTTCAAAAATGAAAACTCATTGAAGATTTTTTTTTTTTTTTAGCTTTAATTGAAAGAGAAAGGATTAAATAGACTATTTCCAGTAGGTAAAATACTCTGCTGTATTTCAAATAAAAATTTATATAGATTAGAATGTTGAATATTTGCTTGATTTCAAAAAATCTGTTTAGTGGCGGCCATTTACATTTTAGCAAGTTTTAAAATAAAATATATATTTTTGACACATTATTTGAGTAAAATTAGCAAATTTAAAGTTAAATTAACCTGATTTGTAACATATTGCTTATAGCATCAAAAAAATAGTATACAAGCATTTCTTAATGACAGGTTCTGTTTTTCTTATGTCTTATTAATGTTATCAATCAGCTTTGAGGTGTTGACAGTACGGATGATCACAATTGACATAAATTTACGAAATCTAAGTGAGCCCATTTTTTAAAAATTTTTTTTTTTGCTTTTTAACTACCTAGTAATTTTTACAAATTAACATATTTTCAGCAATTATCTAATATTTTATTGACTTTTAGTTACATTTGAAGATGCTTTCTGAAAAAAGAAAATTTTATTAGATTAATTTAAAAATTTAATAACTGAGATGAAATACCATGATTGAAGTAACTCAATAATTTATGAAATGTTATGTTATTTTATTATTAATTTATATTTTTTAATATCTTTTTTTTTAATTTTAAAGTTGAGATGTAAACATGCAATAAATAAAGAATTGCAGCCAAGCAAATTTCTCTGAAAATGGGTGACAACTCTTATGACATGTTACCTTTTCATAATAATGCCATGTTTAGGCTGCTATAGATGAAAAATGGGAATGATTAAATTAAAAGAATAAAAAACAAAAAATTATTTTAAAAATATAATAAGTATAAGTATTTTAAAAATATAATAAGTATAATAAGTATATATTAAACTTTTCAATTTTTGATTTGTAAATTTTGTTTCCACTTAGTTACAATATTACCTAAAAGAAAGTAATGCAGAATTTTAAAAGATTTTTAAATTATTATAATTAAAATTTTAGAAAAATGAATAAAAAGACATGTGTAAAAAAAAAAAATTTTTTTTTTTTTTTTTAACCAAGATTCTCAAAAACAAAAAATTGCAAAAATAATTTCATTCATTCGTGAATAATTCTTGAAAGTTTCATTAAAATCCGACTATTATTTGATTTTTGCATATATTTCCAAATTAATGTGTTTTTCACCAATGGGGGAAAAGGTGCAATAAATACGCACTGTAAAATTTATGTCTAGCACTGACGTAAAAAAAAAAACATTTTTAACCAAAATTTCGAATGTGTTAGAAAGGATTAAAAAATTTTTAAAATAATTAGAAAATATTTTGGGCTTTCCTTTTAATAATAAACATTTCGACAATAAAACTTTGTTTTTATTAAGCTTGTGGCCTTTTTTCATCACGCCAGCAAGTGGAGGGACCTATATTCAACTAAAGTTTTTATGCATTTGTATTGGGTTTTTTTATGTTTTTGCCACCACTCACCCATTTTTTTTTTTTTTTTTTTTTTTTCAATGATATTAGAAAATCCAACTTTTTTTATTCCATTTAAGTATAATGATCATACCCTGGATTGGAGAAAAACTTTCTAGCAGTGATAAATTTATATTTTTCCAATAGAATGTTCATTTAAAGTCTAATGTAAACATACAACAGGACCCTTGCCCAGTTTTTCCAAAGACTGTCCAGTGATTGCCCACATTGCATCTCTATTCTCATTTACATTCATATGCCCCCAAAACTGGGAAAGGCCTGCCACGTCCACAAGTTAATGAAAGATGAAAACTTGCACCATGTCATGAAATAACACAAACCTTGTTTCTAATAGTATAAAATTGGTGTTTTTATTCAGGGTTTTGCTTGTTTGGGTGGGTAGGTAGGTGACACCTGGGGACAACTTCTGTCATATCAGTCTAGCAGCTTGGTTCTTCTCTCTTACCAAGTCTTTGATCATCTACACATCTGACATGTGTCTGACAATGCAAATAGACAGCATCAGAACCATGTGAAGAACACAGGCTAGAACTGACTCTACTGGTTCAAACTGTTAATATTGACTAGCAAGCAGATAAGCTATGTCCAGTTTTGTTGCCACTTAGTCTCCAAAAGTCCCCATCCACTCATTTACTCTTCCATTCCCCTTCAGTTGCCACTTAGAAGACCAGACTTTAAAAAAAATACTATAAAAGAGGAACACTTTAGATCAAGATAAAATTACTTTCCTCTTCTATGTGGATGTCCAAACATATTGTCACACTAAACTTACACCTAAATGCTTTTTGCTTGAATTTTGTACAATTTTTCTTTGTATTAAAATATATTTGTCATTTTAATAAATTTAAATAAATTTTAATGTTAAAACAAAATCTTTAAAGAAAGCAACAAACACTTAAAACAAACTACATATGGCAGTTAAGGGACAATTTTTTTCCCATGCATCATAATTGTGTGTTTGTCTTTTTTATATATTTTCTCTTTTGTTGATAACACCATTTATTTTTTCATTTTGTTCCAGTCTGGTTATTATTGTCGAGTAGATGAAAGTCACCTGAAAGGTTACTTAGTTGCTTGTCGAAACATATTATCTGTGCCTTTGCCACCTACCCACACACTCTCCCTTTTTGAACAGGTAGAAGCATCCAAAGCCAATGGTTATAAAGTAAGTATGCCTTTCAATCCATTCTTGCTTTTGAAAATATGGCACGTCCTGGATAATTCCTTTTTTCTTTTTATCCAGAGTAATGAAATTATAATTCTATGAAATAATTTAAATTTTTCTGTCCTGTTTGCTTATAAATTATATTAAATAATATCTGAAAAATTCATAGATGTAATTTTTTTTGTGTGTTATTGGATATTCTGGCTATACTGTTTAATGTCCCTAAAGTTACCTGTAATATAATTACAACAACTTTTTGTTAACCTCAAGTCATTATTCAATAATTGACCTCAGGTCATCACACAGACTATTTTTAGTTTCAAGTGATAAACATCCAAAGGCATCTTTCAGAATAACATGATAATATGGAAAATTTTTGCACTATTTATATCAGCAATGTCAGTGGAACTGCATAAATGTTTGAAACATTAATTTGTAAAAAAAAAAAAAATCTTTCGCCTAAGAATAAATATAGTTATGTAATATTCAAAAGATGCAAAAGACATTTTAAAAAATGTTTAAAATATTTCTTATTTTTTAAGAACCTTACTGATATTTTGATGAAAGATAATATCAAGAGAGACCTTTCTGCAGAATATCGCCATCAAATCCTGGAAGAGCTCAATCGAAAACCCTCTAAGTATGTTTACTGTTTTTATACTCTTAATAATTATCTTGTGTGTGTATATATATATATATATATATATATATATATTTATTTGGGCAGCAGTCCCTCTTTTATATAGGTTTAATTCAAGATGACTGAAAAGACACTGCAATTAAGCATTTTATTTTTCTTGCATGCATCCAAGAGATTTGGGGCACGCATAGAGTGTGTAAGAACTGTCCAAATGATTTTTGAACCTGAGTGCTTATGCCTCATCTATCAGCCATTATCAATGATGTTTTTGTTTGTCTTAATATGTAGATTTTTTTTCTTATACCAATATAAATATTTTAATTCTCAAACACAGCACATTGTGGTCATATCTAATATATATTACCAAGATGGCTATCACTTTGTTATCATACTCACTTGTGGCTGATGATATCAAGCATTGCCTATGCATGAAAGTGGAAAAGAATGTTGCCCTGGATCAGTCTCACTCTCTAAGCAAAAACTGCATGTACCCAAGAACAAGTTAGCATCATTGGATGCTGTTAAGCTGCAGATGTCACGTCAGAATTTTCCTTCTCCTAGCTGAATACCTTAATAAAGGCTAAGAGATCCAACACTCCTATTGGCTTACAGCATACCTGGACACAAATCTAGTTATTTCTACATCCCTGTGCCTGTGTTAAATGGCTGCTGCCCTTTTTGACAGGTCTTGTTTTTAATCTATAATTATTAATATTTAATTAATGTTAAATTCATTTAGGATACATGTAAGCAAACGAATATTGTTAATACACAAGAAAATAAAATACGATGCAATTCAGTCAGTTATGTGCCATGTGTGATACATGCTTAGGTGATCATCTATTTTTCAATACATGACTGATGAGTCAGTTTTTCTCACAGTAGGTTGCCATTTCTTTCTGTGGTAGACCAGTTGCTATCCAAGGCTATAGAACCTGGTCTGTCCTGCTATTTACCCATAGCTGGAGAGAGAAGAAGAGGACTCATACCTTTCCCAAGGGTATTAGCATGTAAGTGAATGAAATGAATTCAAACTCAGCTCTCTGATTCCTCAATCTGAGCCGCTATCCGTTACTTTACTGTACCTCCTCTGCAGTGCAATTATGTTATAATGGTCCCAATAGGTTGCAGTTAACCTCAGCTACACAAATTTCTTAAGTTGTAAGCATTCTTTTAACAGATTTTAAATATAATCAGAATTGTAAAATAGACCTCTTGTAACGTGGGATTATTAGTCTATATTCTGTATTCCAAAAGAGCTATGAACTTGAATTTTATCTGTTTGTTCTCTCTTACAGCGATATGGTAAATCTGATGCTTCAAGTGAGTGCCTGTAATATTGTCTATGAGGTAATGGATGGCCGTGTTGTGATGTCCAGTTTCATGGATGAAATGAAACGAGGAGGACAGAAAGCTGCAGAGTTTCTCCTCATGGTATGTGATTCTTGACAGGTCTGAATGTGTCCAGTTGATGTAATGGATAGCGGCTTGGAATGAGAATTTGAAGAGCTGAGTTCAAATTCCAGTCGGATTCATTGCATTCACTTATACTCAAATACCCAACTATGGGTTAAACAGTAGGGTTTGTACTGGAAAAAAATCATTGTCATTCTCAAAAAATTGTTAATGTAATATTCACATACAAAAAATTAATTTTACAATACAAAATATGTTTTGGCTTTAAATAACTCAAAAAAGGGTTGATAAGGCATATAAGAACTCAATTGATCAATCAATTGGATCTGAATGCAGCAATGTTGTTTGTTGTAACCTAGGGAAGGTTACTGAATAGAATAATCACACAAAGTTTGGTAATGAACGATAATACTTAGGACAAGAACAACATATAAGTTTCGCCAGTGGCACATAGAAGAAGTAGTCAACCACTAGAAGTGAGTCAAGTGAATTCCACAATGAATCTCCAACTGTAGACCAACATACAGTATTTACTACTGTATTTATGTGAATTCCCATTATCATCCATAGGTATGCTACAACATTATTCTAAAGAGGATCATTTTTCTGGACATTGGAAATAGTTTACAATTTTAATGCACTTTTGCACTGTTTTCATACTCCAGTTACTGAATTATTATTTTTTTTTTTTTTAAATATTTAAATTTAAAAGAATCATTTAAAAAATCTCTGCCACATTTCTGGTCTGGCACTTCTGCTATATATTTAGAGATTCTTGATAAAATACAAAGAAGAATCTGCAATGTTATTGGTCTTGACCTGGTATCTTGGCTTCAGTCACTTTCCTACCACCATAATGTAGCTTCTCTGTGCCTTTTCTACAAATACTTTCATGGTAATTGTTCTGATGAATTTTCTTCTATGGCACCTAGACATTATGAATTTAAGCACAGTACAAGATTGGCAGCAAGGTCTCATTATTTTACAGTTGAATTGTATAGATTTAACTGTAAGTTCTATGCTAACAGTTTCTTCTCTAACACTTCTCACTTATGGTACTCTCTTCTTGCTTCCCAATCAACTTTGATCTTAAAAAATTTAAATATAATGTCAGTCATGAGGTAATTAATAGTGTTTTTTTTTTCTTTCTCATATACTCTCACATTCAATAACCCCTTGCATCTTAGTGGCTTTATTGCCTTGCTTGGGGTGAAATGATAAAAAAAAATGTATACTTTAAAATACAGTTGAACTTTGTTATATCTGGGTGGGGGGAAGAGGTGGATTCATACCTTTTCCAAGAGTATTTGCTTGCAAGTGAATATAACAAACCAAACTGGAATTGAAACTCTGCTCTCCAATTAACAATTATCCATTACACCACCTGCGCATCCAAACTTACAGCACCTAGTATTCTCAAGCGATCATCCATCTAGGTACTGACCAGTCTTGATGTTGCTTAACTTTGGTGATCATATGAGAACTAATGTTTCAACATGATATGGCTGTAAGCCTCTCTGGACTGGGTAGTACATTCAGTGGAAATGGGGCTATCAACTGAGCAGTACTAAAAAGAGAACAAGACAAGATATCTGTAAATATGGACAGCTGAACAATAACAATTTACCTCCATAGATTAAATAAAGAGTTCAGTTCAAAATTCCATGAGGAAAGCCAGAGAGCACAACAGCCATAATGTGATAATAACAACAAAGATGAGGAGATTAATCCTAATGTAAGTAATAGTTTTGGTCTAGTTTCCCTCTCATCTTTTTTGTTGTTTTTTTTTTTTTATCACAAAGTTCAGTTTGTTTTTATATTGTAACCATTAAGTAAACAGAATAGATTAGAAATAGAGTAGCCTTCAATGAAATGTGAAATTATATCTCCTGTCTCTGTGCCTGTTAATGTTAAAAATTACTAATAACATTGTTTCATTTCAGGAATTCAAACAACTTGAAATAAGTATGTATCAGTTTAAGCAAAAACAAATTCAAGATTTTTAAGTAATAAATGTAAAGAAATAAATTTTTCATATTTTTCTGTCCAACTTTGTTTTTAATTTCTATTTAGGTTCTCTCACATGCTATGAAGGGTGCGAACAATGCAGAGCGTGAACATCTCAAATGCTTTACCGGGTATGATGTTCTTTAACAATTCTTGCTTATTTGTGTGTAGACATGTGTATAGTAGAGTGCTTATTGGCACAGAAACAACACAAGGCTTAACATCATATATTGTTAATAATGTGCAAACCGAGAAAGCTTTCCACTGACTGGCCAAGAAATAAGAACTTGATCCCCCGTTTCCCATATATGTGGTTGTCTAGAAAGCTCATGCTGATTTTTAAGGGACAAAAAAAAAACACAAAACAAAATTATGCTTTGAATTTTTTATTCAGTTAAACATGAACAATTTTATCCCACAACATTTCTTCATTTTTCCTTCAACCTTCCATCTTCCCAGAATTTTGATGGTTTCTTGGCAAAAAACTCATTAAGGTGATTTTTTTTATGTAATTTTTTTAAAATCATTTCACCCCAAGCAAGGTAGGATTGCCACTAGTATGCAGGGGGTTACAGAGAGTGGAGGTGAGACAATAGACTAGGTATAGAGGGGTTGAGGAAAGAATAAAAGCTGGATGAGGTTCAGGAAGATAGAAGATGGCAGTTGACATTGCATTTAAATTTTTAAGATTGTAGTTATCAGGGAAGCAAAGAAACTGAAGGTAGTTCCACATGTAGGAAGTGCAAGAAAAGAAACTATTGGAGTAGAAGTGGCAATTACATTTACCTGATTCAACAGTAAAAGGGTGAGACCTAGATGTTAATTTAGTAGCACGCTTAAACACATAGTCTGGGCATTAGGGAGAAAAAAAGCTCATCAGAGCAGTTGCCATGAAAATATTTGTAGAAAAGACAGAGGGAAGCCACATTACATTGGTAAGAAAGTGACTGATGGATTACATTGCAAAGAATTCAAATTTTTACCATTGATTGTTTTTTTTTTTTTTTTTTTTTTTTTAAGGACCTGAATAAATGAAAATCTGAAAGAGCAATGTCTGGTGAATATGGGGGGTGGGTAACATATCCTAGCCAAGCTGTAACAATTTTTGTTGGGTTGCCAAAGAAACATGAAGTCTGGTACTATCCTGATGAAAAACAACACCTTTCTGGTTCACCAATTCTGGGCATTTTTTTCTTGAATTGTTGCCTTTTAATTCGTCCAATTGCGAGCAGTACTTTTCAGAATCAATTGAGTAGTTACTTCCTTTCCATTCCAACCAGATGCACCAGAATTCCTTAGGATGAAAACCTGTTTTTGAGGTAGCTAAAGTTGGCTCATGTTGCTTACCCCAGGCTCTTTTTCGCTGAACATTGTTGTAAATGATCCATTTCTCATCACCTGTCACAATTTGCTTCAAAATGGGTGCATTTTCATTGTGTTTATACAGCAAATCACACATGAAATGCGATCCAAAAGATTTCATGTAATACCTAAGCTTCATTAAGTTCCCTTGGATGGTGGATTTTGATAAATTTAGTGTTTCTGCCAATTCCCGTGTTGTGCAATGCAGGTTATTCTCAAACAATGTCTTGATTTGGTTATCATCTGTAATGGGTTGGGGGGGGGTTCATTCTTCATCAATAAGGCTACAATCACAACTCTAAACTTAATGAACCACTTTCATACAGTTCTGTCAGTTTTGTTTTGCTTGCAAGGCATTTTTGCCTTTACACTAAAAAAAAAATGCATCAAGTGTCTAAAATGCACCTTTATAATCTTCCATTTTTATATGGATGCAAATATTGACATGAATTAAGTAATTTTAAACTTTATTTCTCAAGCAATAGTTTTAAGTGTGCTCTAATCGAAAATGTAAGCATATTAGGAGGCACAGTGGAGTAATGGATAGCAGCTCAGAGTGAGGAATCAGAGAGCTGAGTTCGAATTTACATTCACTTACGTGCTAATACTTTGGGAAAAGTATGAATCCTCTTCTTCCCCCCCCTCTCCAGCTATGGGTAAATAGTGGGACAGACCAGGTTCTATAGCCTTGGATGGCAACTGGTCTACCGCAGAAAGAAATGGCAACCTACTGCGGAAAAAATCTGCTTCGTCAGTCATGTATTGAAAGATACGTGATTGCCTAAGCGTGTATCACACATAACTGACTGAAGCATATTATATCTGTCGATAAATTTGACGTGTTCTAATGTGTTGGAACATGAACAACTAGAAATTAGCAAGAACTTTCCGAACAACCCAACATTTAGGTGTTCTATCTGGTTCTTCGCTTGCTTGGTTTGGGTGGGTGGGTAGGTAGGTGACACTTGGGGTAACTTCTGCCATGTCAGACAAACAACTCATCTCTTTCCTTTCACTCTTCCTCCGACCAACTCTCTGCTCATCTTAACATCACAGCACATGACTGGCAACACAAAGGGGTGGCATCAGAACTAAGGCTGGACCAGAACTAACTTCCTCGGTCCGAACTGTAACTTAATATAGACCAGCCACTGGAAATCACTTAATATTCAGCTTTGTTGTCACTTGACCTCAAAAGCTTTTATCTATTTATTTGTTTGCTCCCTTTTGATAAAGTTTGATGCCACTTAGGAGACCTGACTTCAAAGACATTATCCACTAGCCATAAAATGTGAAACACTTGAAATCTAGATAAAATCTACTTTTCACCTATGTAGGTGTCCCAGTCCTAGTGTCAGAAGAATGTCATCCTAATTTACCTTGCCTTTTATTGCAAATATTCATCTGTTAGTGTGGATAGGAAATAAAGAAGAGGTTTTTGATGAAACTTGAACTCTTGTCTCAACCTCCACCTCACCTTGTTGCTCATGTGGTAGAACAGCTGTCACAGTTAACAAAGCTTCCTGAAGAAAACTGGCTGCAAAAATTGTTATTCCTGATTTGCTAACAGTGGACTGAAAGTCTGCATTAAATTATTACCAGAAGAAGCAAATGGAATTTGGCTGAGAAATATCTGTACAAAAATAAATAATAATTAGCAAAACATGCATATACATTTTATAGTCATTTCTAAGGAATTAAGGCATTTTATTTATAATCCAACATTATTTCTTATTACTTTAGACATTAAATGTGTGTGTTTGTGTAGATATCCCTGTTTTTTAATTTATGTCTACTGGCCTGTGCATTCATGAGTCTTAAACATGTTGGAAAAAAATGTCTATTCAAATGTGTATACACTGAATATAACGTTTAAAGTAATAATATTTGATAGTAAATATTAAGTACTGAAACATTTTAAATAAAATTTTGTGATTCTTAGTTAAATTACAAAAAAAAAATGATACTTTTTTATCTATAAGATTTAAATTTATGAGTTTATAATGATTCGTTCATGTTTTTTGTTGATGCTTTCTCTTTCACTAAAGGCATATGGCTCAACTTTTGCCACGAGAAACAAAGTTTGTAGCATTGCTAACCAAAAGTGAAGTCTACTCGTATTTCAATGATGCTGAGCGGATTGAAATGACAAGTTTTGAAGATGATGAAGACTTGATGAATGAAGAAATATCTTTTGATTATGGGCAGTCTTATATTCAAGGTAAAAAAAAAAAAAAAAAAAAAAAATGATCATCTTTATAATTTCTTTCAAATATGTTCTCTTTCTTTTATAATCTGAAGTCAAAATTTTTTCTTTTTTTTTTTTTAATCAATTCACCCCGAGCAAGGTGATAACACCACTAAGATGCAAAGGACTGCTGAAAGTGAAAGAGAAGGAAAAGACTTTAAAAGGAACTGGAAACTTAATCCTAAACAGGAAAAAAGGGAAATGTTGGATGAGAATTCAATGAAATATATAAGACTTTTACTTTAACATGTTTTGCTTATTATCTTGTGTCATCAGAAAAAAAATAATTGTTAAATAATATTCCTTTCCTGATGTTACATAATCAGTGGAACATGTCAAAATGAAAAAAACTAATTCCAAATTGTCATATTTTTACTACTGGTCTAAATGATAATAGAACACCAAGACTGAGTTCAGTAATATTATCAACACTTGGAGTAATATCATTTTGTTGGGTAATGGTATTCAAGACTTAATTTCAAACCAACTTAAAGTTTTCTTAAATTAGAACATTCTGACAGATTTGATTACTCTTTAGAGATACTGAAAATTCACTGATATCTTTTAATCATGTGTATTTCATAATCTTTATATAAGAACTATGATGAGTTGTTAAAATGTCACTTATTGTTTTTTTCTGCTTTGCTTCTTGTTTTACAGACTCTACATCTTCAGTTGTTGATGCTGAAAGACAGATTTTGTATGAATTCAATCCTCGGAAAGTTGAAGAATTGATCATTAAGTTGACCCAAAAGTGGGGTCGTCATCCAAATCAGATAATGGCTCTCTCTAACCATGTGAGTTTCATTACTTTGTTCATTGCGTACTTCTTAATGATTTTTTTTTTTTAATTGATTTAGTCAATAAACAAATGGGATTTAATATCTCTATAGCCTTTTCTATAATCTCTATTATACTTCTTCTGTAATAGATTTGTGTTTTTGTTCATTAGTCACTTAATATAATTAGCTTTCTTTATTAACCTGCTTTCAAAAATGTCACAATAAAACATTGGTTATTTAGTATTAATTTTTGTATGGGCTTTTCTTTTAGCCAAATTTCAATAGCTTTTTCTAAAAAATGATTTACTTCAGACTTTTAGTCCACTGTTGTTAGTGCACAATACAAAATAGCTTTTTGTAATTTTATTAAATATTATTAATTATATCTAATATTCTATGGAGGAAATTAAAATTTTTTTACCATCCTTATTTAAAATTTATCAAAATTATATGTCAGGTTGCATATAAAATGCTACCACCTAAAAATTGTGGTTGATTCTACCACTTGTTATTATAATGATATTGATGTGGTTACTCTAAAGGTTATTTTGTATACATATAAAAGCTAAAGCAAAACAATTTTGTTTGACTCAGTTCTTTCCCTTTCTATTAATTCATTATTAATTTTAACTAATTTTTCTTGCATCTTAGTGTCACATTTTATCACAACAATCTAGTCATTTTAATTAATCCATTCTCATCAAATGTAGGCAAATGACTAGATTCACTTTGATTTTTTTTTTATTATATATTAAAGTGATTAAAACAAAAGATAGTCCATGTGTGGTTCTTAATAAAATTTGAGGAATAAAAAGAACCCACACAATGCTAGGTGTCAACACCCCTAACCTACACACACTTCACCACCTCACCAATAAACTGCGATGACAAGTCTGTAAACATATCATCACTGATAGCAATTTCACAACCCCTATCACTCATGCAATATTCAAACCAGCAGCTCTGACTTGTGAAAGTTCAAATCTTATATATTTACGTTTCTGCCACAAATGAAAAAAAAGGAATTATGTTGGAGAAACAGGCACAGAATTGCGTCTTCAGTTCAATAACCATGAAAAAAACCATTAAAGATAACAACATCAATTTCCCTGTTGCTGCACACTTCAACCAACTGTTCCATAGCTTTGAGAACATTAGATGCATACATTTAGTGTCTTCATTTAGCAGCCAACAAGGAAGACGCAGATCACAGTTAAAATATGAAAAAGGACACTGGTGTGTCTGAAAATTTTTACTTTAAAATCTTTATCTTCATGCTTTAATTTAGTCAAAAGCTAATATATAATAAATATCACCAGTCTTATTGCTAATATTGTTATCATTTTGTTGTCTTTTTATGTATTCTTTTTATCCATTATTTTAATTTGCTGTAAATATTTACTAAGCTTAACTTTTGCAGACACAAAGTCTACATAAAAGCATTTAATTTCACTAGCAATGTCATATTAAGGTTGTTGAAGTATGAGAAAGTGAGAGATTCTTTTTTGACATACAGATCTTTATAATCATTATATCCTTTTGCTGCATTTGCTAGGATGGTCTATTCAGAAGTCTGTTTCATAATATTTGTCACCCTTATAAAATTATATAGAACTCTGTTTTCTTAAATATAAATTAATGAAGATCTTAGCACTGAAGCCATGCATTCTAATAAGGGTTGGATATTTAATCCTTTCAAGTCCACATTCACATAATTGATGTATACAGCAAAAAAAAACTTATTGTTCATTTCAGTAGACACATCTAAATGACTGACTTAGAAAAATAATGGCTAGTAATTGTTAATCGGAGAGCCAAGTTACAATTCCCATTGGGGTTGTTATATTCACTTACACGCAAATACCCTTGGAAAAGGTATGAATCCAACTCTTCTCTCCCAGTTGTATGTTATATAGTAAGACTTATAATATCACTAAAACTATTATTATCTCAAAAAAATAAAATAATAAAATTGGGCACAAAATATTTTAGATTTTGGCATTACATAACCCAGTGCGGTTAAACAAAAACAACCAACCAACCAAATAATGATTCATCTCAGAATTTCAGACAATAAAATTTAAGCTTATTTTCTGACCGAAAGGCTTCTTATAGCATGTTAGTTGTATGTTTTAAGATGAATTAGTCTTATATAAGCTGGTTGAGATTAGTTTTTCACTTGATTTATTCTCTGTCTCTGAATGCTTACAGTTCTTTCTTGTATTCAGTTCTTCCATGACCAAAACAGGTTAGCATTTATATTGGATAAGCTAAACAAGTTCATTCTGTTTGTGTTGTTAGATGACATTAGGAGCTCCTGGTTTTAACTTCATTTAAAAAGATTGCTTTTTAATTTATTATGACAGTGTTGAAAAACATTTTGTCAAAATTACTTCAATTTTTGGTTATTGATTCTAATAAAAATGGAGAGAAAAAAATAAACAACAATTTAAAAAAAAAAAAAAAGCGGCATATTTATTTATTTATTTATTTATTTTTTTTAAAAAGATAAAAAAGAAGCTCAAATGCAAAAAGAAGTTTATACAGTTTATGGAGACAGTTCTGTGAACAATCATTTGTCAAAAGTGGTTTGAAAAATTTCATGCTGACAATTTCTCATTCTTTGGTCAGGTCAACCAGTTAATAGCAATGAAATCAAGACATTACTTGGAATAATCAACATTATAGGTTTTTGGGAGTTAGTCAACATTCTCTAAATATCCAAATCAAACAATGAAAATCATTTACACCTGATTGGTTATATCAGTCACCTTGTATGGCTTCTACTTAAGCTAAAAAAACTACTAGAACACATTTCCTTGTGATATTTACTACTTAAATGTTATATAAATGTTCCATTTTGTGATAGGTGATGAAAAGTGGATACTTTACGATATGAAATGCAAAAGATTCAAAGGCAAGCAAAATGAACCACTGCTAGGCTGGCTTTTATACTAAGAAGGTTATGTTGTATTTTTGTTTGAGAATTAAATGCTTTATTTTAAACAAGCACACTACTTCTAATTAGACAACTGAAAACCATAAAAAGATTTATCTAGAATTAATTAATTTTTTTAACTGCAAATGGTGAGTTTCCATCATTGTAGTTCTATGGCTTAAACATGAATGGCAGACATTTTCATCACAGTGTAAAGTGAAAAGATGTATTATTCCATTAGGATAATGCTTGGCAAAATTTTAGTGAAAAGGCAAAAAAATTGATACAGATCAGCTGGTGGAGTTTTGGTTCCTCTACTAGATATTGCTTATTCAGCAATTTCCTAGTAGACTGCAAAAAGAAACCAGAAGTATTGCTTTTCTGAGAAACAAGTTCTGAGAAGATAGAATTATTAACCTTTAAAACTCTGTATATAGGTGACTTCATTTGTCAAATAAAATGATTGTACAACCATAGTATGCAACTCTGATGATCAGATAATAGTGTGGTTGAATTTTGCACTAGTGTTATCATAACTTACTATGGCAACAGGAAAATGACTAACTGAAAATTGAAGATTATGCTACTGCAGTTGTCTGGAGACTTATATCCAATGGATGGAATATTTATGAATATTACAGTGCTAAAGGCTAAATTATCTGAAAGATGGCAGAAAATAGCAACACAAACAGTAAATATCTTTTATTTTTACTTGATAAGCTAAACAAACTTTTGGGCTACTCAATAATTTTATCTTGTAGGCTGTTACAACATCTTATATAAAAGATTATCCTTGTAATCTTACTTTTTTTCTCCCCCTTCCCAAATAAAAGTTGACAACATATTCTTCCTGTGCTTTTTCTTCTAGACGATCACATCTAACTTAAGATGTCTTTGTTTATTTCTCATTGTATCTCATTTGGTATTCAGCATTTGAATGATTTTACTCTTAAGCTTTTATAATAAAGTCTTTTTACTTCTTGTTTCAGTGGCAGGTACCAAAACCCCTACGACACATGCTGGAAAGCATGCCATCCAGTATGCAACAGACATATGCCTATATTCTTGTTGGCAAATCCCGACATTGTCTTAAACTCAAGGTAATTTTAGTTTTTATTTGAGTAAATCATAAATGTTAAAAATTAATCTTGCTCAATAAACTGAGTGACAGCACTTTAACAGGCAACTAGAAAAATGAAGAAATTTTAGTAAACTTAATGTCAAAAGGTTAAATCCACTTTGGCAGTATGAGAGACAAGCTACTACCACTGCTTAGAACACATCCAATAAGCTGAGGAGTGGGAGTCTAATATCTTCAAAAATTTGTTAGTCAATGATTTAAATCCTAGGTAGAGTCACAAGAGTCAGCATAGTTAATAATAAAGTAACTCTAAACTGTCTATAATTATATTTAAAAAAAAAAAAAGAACCCCCTCTCTTTCATTATGGATATCTGAAGAAAGCCTGTCAAGGGGATCAATAGTAGTAACAACAGAAGCAATACAAACAGTTGAGTTGTCAAAACAACTGGGATAAGTTTGCCTAAGTTATCAGATTTGCTGGCTAAAAAAAATACATTCTTTAATATTTTTTCTTTCTCTCTCACTCATATTTTTCAGTTTTTGATCATCATAAAGCTATGGTTTTCAATATCTTTATTATTATATATTAAAGAAAAACAAAAACCATTGGTAGAACCAATGGACAACTTGGCAAAACCTAAAACTCTTATCCATATACAGTCTCAAATAAGAACAACAATACTGAAAAAAGAAAGAAAAAAAAGGTCTAAAAGCAAACTTACCTACTCAGTAAAATAAAGTGCTCAAAGCTCAGATTGCCTAAACTGAGCAAAAAACACTTACAAATGTTAAATCCTATGAAAGAATGGATCAAGTTTCATGCTCATTGGATCTTCAGATGACAATGAATACAGTAAAGAAAAAATATCCATGTATGCTTTTTATAATAATTTCTCATCATGCTTTCATTTTCTCAAAAGACCTGCTAATATACAATAAATATTTTTAGTCTTATTATCAATATTATTATTTTTGTTTTTTTGGGTTTTTTTTTTTTTATTTCTCAAATTTGTTTCATTGGCCTACTATATGTACATCCATTTAAGATTATTTTTCAGATAATATATTCACCTTTGCGTGAAGAGATTAAATGAATATGAAATAATAAAAATGTATTATTAATTATTGGTACATTGATTTTATTTAAAAATAGTAAAACTATCTATAGATGCATGATTTATAACTAAATAGAACAGAAGTTTTTCGATGCAGTTTAAAAAGCATTTATTAGTTACTGTACCAGTGTAAATTAACATCTTCAGCAATATTTTGCTTTGTCACATGTTTGATGATAATGCAAAACCATGATAAAATGTGTGTGCAAAAGTTTCCAAAACATTTTTTCCTTTAATGAAAATAAAGTTTACTTGGGTGTGTTCAGGCTGTAGCTTAAAAAAATGGCTCTGTAAATTTTTTTTTTTTTAATAAACAGATAAATATATATATAATCTTATTAATTTTATTTTATGACATCTCTTACAGTCATATGACATTGCTCAAGAACTTCTATCATCTGCCCTGATGGCTATCAAAGACTATAACTTTGCTCTGAAGAAGCATTTGCAATATCAGATGTTGTTGGTGGACCTCTGGCAGGCAGACAGCAGCCATTGCAGTAATGAGCAGTTGCATGACTTAGCAAATAAAGCCAAATCTTGCCTCAATACTGTTAGATCAGGACAAGGTGAGTAATATTTAGAAATATTATGTCAATCTTTGTTATATTTGAAACACTCATAAGCATAAATCTATTTGAGCAGCAGTTTTACATTGATGCAAATTTTTTTAAAGAGCAATGAAAGTTCCTTGTTAAAAATTTCTTATTATTTTTTTTTTTCCATTCTGACTAGCTATTTAATATTGTGATTGAGGCTGTTTTGTTCAAATTTTGACAGCCTTCAGGTTTCTTAAGCAATTTTCAAAGCTAGATTATATTTGTTTTATTAAAAATACATTTAGTTTAAATTTATTTTATGCATTAGTTTCAAATATCATGTCAATTTGCAGTGCAACTTTATTTTTTATTTTATTTTTTTTAAAATTATCACATATTTAATGCTTGTTCTTAAATTGAATGAAATTTTATTAATGTTTGTACTCTGATTAAAGATTTTAATAATTGTAGAATTTTTTTTTTACTATTTAACCATAAATTCAAAAGTCCTTATATTAAACAATTTAATAAAAATCCTTAATGCAGAACCATTGTCTCATAAAACTTGTACATATATACTGATGGCAAATGAAATTTTAACACTGTGAAGGATGATTTCAATTTTGACCTGGGTGCACACTGTACCCATGTGCATCCTAGGAGGTGGTAGAAATTTGATTTTCAGTCTTTGGCCATCTAGTGACATAATAACATCCATACCCATGTTCAATATATATCTTGGCTTTAGATTAAGTCACATGATGTGATAAGTTTAATGTAATGAAAGAATTGAATACAGACAGGTACACATGATTTTGTTGGTTAAAGCCACTTGAGAAGGTTTTGGGTTGTCAGCCCTCTTCAAGACTGGTCATTTCAGAGAATTGTCCCACATGTTGGACTTGATCCATCAGTGGTACTTCGATGTTGGCAACTGATCAACTGATCAACTGAATGTCTTTTTACACCTGTGGACCAGGTTCTGGATGGTCACATAGTATGGACAATACTGTAAAAGCAACAGTGGAAGACTGGATAGTGTCCACAGCATAAATCAGAGCAAATATAGCTGCAGGAGTGTTAGCACAGAACCTTGGGAATTGTTTAGTTGCAGTAGGACTACAGGCACATGTGCCTCTAGTCAGATTTCTATTTATGCCACAACACTGTTTGACAAGATGAGCAATTGTCATCTTTGAAGCATATGAAGGGCAATTGTCTTGCATGAATATGCTCTTTAGCATAAAAAGTCTTGCTTGTACCACTCAAAAAATGTCTTATCCCAAAACATAATAATAATTCTCTGTATTTATCATTTGAATCCTCATCAGTTTTGAAGACAAGTATAATTTGATTGCCTACAATAATAGCCCAAAACTGTACTTCCTAGTTATGAGAGAGTAGGAGATATCATCTCATCTTCAAGCTGCCTTTGTAATCACCTATTATCCTAATGCATCTTTTAGTCCTTGTCTCATTGCCTGGGCTCTCACTGAGGCATGATGTTTCTGACCTAAGACGTTTGGCTGCTTTGATTCCTGACACCTCATTCAGTAATCCTATACTTTGAGTGGCTCTTGAGGCTTGGTTGAAAATTTTCACAAAGGATACATCTCATCCAGTCATAAGATTGATTCAGTGTAGCTCTACATCCATCTAAAAAATATTTAAGAAATCTGCTTTCATATACTTGTTTTCACAATTTACACGTTCTCTTTGTAATGTTTACTTAAAGGTTGTGCTTTTTGTTTGTTTTTGTATCTGTAGCAAACATTTTAAAAAAAAAAAATGAACATGTAAGATTAGAATTCTGTGATATGCTAGAGTCCAGACTGACATCCTTAAATCTTGACCAAAACAACATAGAAGAATTAAATAATGTAATTGTTCTTCATTAGCCAAAACTAAAAAGCTAGGAAGGAAACCCTCCATCAGTACTGGCAAGAACGATAACAGTGGATTTGAGAAAGCATTTTCCTGAAAAATCTCTTTAAGAGAGATTTTCAACCAACAGAAGCAGTGGCTGCTCAGTCAATGAATGCCAACTGTTTCCTTATAAGGAAACTATTAATATTACAATTACAATACCCTTGATCTTTTTTCTATGTTTACATTCACAACAGCAGCTTCTAATATTTTCTTGCTGGTCAATTCACTTTTCTTACTAACTATTATTTTTCTTCCTAAATCTTTTTGCAACATTCATGTAACCAATTTTTTTCTTGTTCTTATCTTGCCAATATTATGAATTTCATTTTTGATTGCTCTATGATCTCTGTTCAATGTTTTCAGCACTTTTCACACCAACATTGTGATCCAATCAGTCAATAACTTTTCAATATCTTCACTTTTGAGGTTATATCATTATAGCTTATGGCAATCTTTATATAGCTGAAATTTTAAAATAAATATAACAATACTATTATGTATATTTAATTCCGGTACAATGAACAAGCCTTGAATTGCATAATAAAATTTCACATAAATTATTGTAAATATTTCAAACAATCAATCATGGCCAGGCATCTCATCTCCAGTCAATTTCTCACCAATGTGATGTGGCTTCCCTTTGTACTACAAATATTTTTATGGCAACTGTTCTGTCAAACTTTTTTTCCATGATGCCCTGACTAAATGAATTTAGGCGTGCTACTAGATTGACCACTAGGTTTCACCATTTTACTGTTGAACTAGTTAGAATCAACCGGCAATTCTATTCTAACAGTTTTTTTTTTTTTTTTTTTTTTTTTTTAGCAGTTCTCACCTTTGGAAATGCCTTCTAAATTTCTTGCTTCCATGATAACTACAATCTTCAAAAATTTAAATGCAACATCAATTGCCATATTCTGTCTTGAAGCCTGTTCATTTTTTTGTCCTTTCCTGATTTTCTCCCCATTTTCAATCTTCTCATTCTCTTTCACTTTCACTCTCTGTAACCCTCTGCGTTCTAGTTGCATTGTTGTCTTGCGATAAAACAATTAAAAAAGTATATGTAAGTTACATTTTTTTTTTTTTTTTTTTTTTTTTTTTACAAATAAATCAGATTCTGATTCTATTTATTTAAATAGCTAAATTCTGGGAAATTTCTTTGATTTTTTTTTTTTTTTTTTTTTTCTTCAAGGCAATCAAACCAAAATTAGTAACAATTTTCTGTCAAATACAAACCTACATTAATCTGCTACTCATGATTGACTGAAAGTCTTAATTATAATTGGGAAAGGTATGAATACATCTCTTCTGTTATCTATGTGTTAAATAACTTTCCAACTAAAAGAAGGAACACAGAACTCCAAACCATGGTGAAGGCATTGAGAAACCACTTCATTATACTTCCCAAGAAGGCATGGCAATTTACAGATAATAAAGAGGGGTCTGTGAAGAGTCTTAATTGCTTATTTCATTAAGGGACATAGCATTAGAAAATATGCACCTCTAAATTTCTGTACTACACTTTAATGCACTTTTGGGGATATGCAGGTAATGTAATGGTTATCAGTGTAGAAAGTAGAATTGGTGAGCCAAGTTCAAATTCAGGTCTTATTTGTTTTGTTTACTTTACACTAATGCCCTTGGGAAAGGCATGAATCCAGTTCTTCTTCCTGCTAGCCAAGGGATAAATAGCAGTATAGACTGGGATCTCTACCCATGGGTGGAAGCCAGCCTGGGAGAAATAATTTAAAATCAAGAAGGCAACAGGAAACCATTTTATTATCTTTCTCAAGAATTCATGGTAAGTCACAAATAATAAAATGAAGAAAGAGAGCCATGATTGCCTGCATCCTGAAGAGATATTGCATTTAAAAAAAAAACACAAAAACACATTCAGCCAGGCCGAATATTTTAGTATTGTTTATATATATATATATATATATATATATATATATATATATATATAATTTTTTTTTTTTTTTTTTTTTTATATATAGAGACTCCTCCAACTCCTGAAGTTGTTGAACAAGCAGCTGCTTTCTTACTGAATGTTAAAGACTGGGAATATTTGAGTAATATGGATGGCTCTTCAAATGGTTTTATTGAAGTAAGTTTAATCATGTTGTTACTTATTTAAACTGAAAAGCATATTTTCTTTTTTACTTGTAGGCCAAGGATAACAAGTAAAACTATGGGACAGTTTAAAAATAACACTATATTTTTTAATCATTTATTTTAAACCATATTAGATAATTTCCATTATGAATAAACATAGACTCCACAGTTCTTTTAGTAGTAGTGTCAAAACTGAAGAACTTGTGAGAATTAGGAAATTATTTTTTTCATTTTTCTATATGCAGATTTAGCAAACTTCAATTTGAAAATGTCATCTCACAAATATGTTGTTCCAAATGCTGTAATTAATGGTTGACTACATGGTTTTAAAACATTATATATTAAATCTGGTGGGGCTGGTATTTTTAAAATACAGTTAAATTACTTCACTTTGTATTGGTCTTTCAATAAATTATTCAATTGCAGGTCCATCACTTGCAATTAAAGTTCTGATAAATGACTTCAATGATACATAAGCCAAACATTTTTTTTAAAATTTTTATTCTTAGTAACATTAAAGGAATAATAATAATATAAAAAAGAATTTTCAGAATGATGACATATTCTATATAATCTGCAAACCATAATTTGCTGACTCCTGAACTAAATCATTAATGCCTACTCAACAACTCTTATCATTTTAAATTCTTGTTCTTTTTTTTTTTTCTCATTAATAGATCAGCTTCCTGTTAGCAAGAGCTTGTAAAGAAATTAACAACATAAAAAATGTTCGGAAACCTGCCCGAGAGTTATGGGAAGCAGGTATGTGTTTGTGTTGTTTGGACATTTGTAAGTGGTTTACTCATTTACACTGTCGACCAGTGGTTCCCAAACTGTGTGGCACACCTCATATGTGCGGCAGAGGAGGATAGTAGGTGAGGCAGAATGATTGAAAGACAATCAAAAATTTAGTAAAAGTTTTAAAAAAATTCATATGCCAAAAATAAATGATTTCAAAATTTAAAATATTATGGATTACTTGTAATTGCATGCATGAGTCCCAGTATAAATAGTTATAAATAATTATTGACCAATTTTTATCATTGTGATATTTTTGCATTATATCAAGGACATGGCTCAGTGGATAAAAGTGTTGGTTAAAGTAATCCAGTGACTTGGCCCAAAGACTTGTGAGCAAAACTTGGTGACTTGAGTTACTAAAGGGAAATAACTAAAACTGAGATATCCGGAAGATGCATGGCAAGTGGAACTAGAACAATCTATCCCGGTGCACGAAATAAAGAGTTTGGTTCAAAATTCCAATCACCTGAACAGGGCCGAAGCATACAATGGCTGAGATGTCATGAATATGACAACAAAGATGAGGACAATGTAAATAGTGTATATAGTATCTAGGGTCTGCAAATTGAAGGGGAGTTATCAATGATAATGTTCTGACTGCAAATCCGTGGTTATCTCCCTTTAATCCTCTCTCTGGACCTTCTTTGGAATTCCCTTTGGTGAGGTGAAAACAAATTTACATTCTGGAAATGCAGTCATGAGAAAAAAATGTTTGGGAACCACTGCTGTAGACTGTCAGTTAATAATAGATTAATTGATGCAGTGCCCATGTTTATCAGATGTATTTAGTTTTTTGGGTTTTTTTTTTTTTTTTTTTTTTTTTTTTGCTTTTTTTTAACCCATTAATGCCATCATCCCAAGAATGGGACAGTGAGCATTAAGTTTATAGGTAAAAACTTATGGTTAATATCAGGATTGTTATAAACATATAAGTAATAGCAGGTTTTTTTTTTTTTTTAAAAAACCTGTAATTACCAGATTGTTTTATGGCAGGCATTAATGGTTTAATTAAATATTGTTGGAATGGTAATAAAAATACTAGATTCAATGGGGTGGATTCAGTTTAGAGAATTGCAAATGGCTGCTATTGGGAAACTATATAAAGATCTTCCAAAGAATAATGTAAGTTCTAATTTAATTAAAAAAAATATATTATAATCTCTCAGGGGTTTTCAGTTTCTCCTCAACAGTCAACCCCTGAATAAACCACTGCTACCATAGCAAATTTAGTCCTCTTTAACTATGTTTATGATCTTGTGTTGTGCTAGACTAAGTTTAGTAAATAACAAAGCATGCATCTAAAGGTTTATTTAAGAAACCAAACATTTTTGCATTACATAGGCATATAAAAATTATGATTTTTTTTTTTTTTAAATTTTTAAGTTCATTGGTTTTCTATAATGACCAGATAAAATCTGTTATTACTATAAAAGTTTAACTATAAATCTTGCAAAACTAATTTTTTTAAAATTATTTCTTTTGTTCCAGTTGGAAATATATTCTCATCCATTACATCTCAAAAACGGTCAAGTTCTGGCCGAGAGACCACAGTACATCGGGATAATTCTTTAGCCATCATGTCAAAGGAAAGCTTTAACCAGTTTATCAAAAAACTTAAGGTAATTATATTTTTATTTCACTTTAAGGACAATTTTTTATTTATTTTTCCAATTTTCAAATAAGTTGTGCATCCAGATGAAAACCATGGATAAATACTGTACACACTACAAATAAAGACTCACAATACTCAAATTTATTATGATACAAAAGAAACAAGCTGCATTAAATAGAATATATTTCACCACAGGAGACAGCATTTTAGAATACATACAAGATCTCTATATATTTGTTTCCAGTGTTTTTAAGCTGTATAAAACCATTCTGTACACATCATTAATTGTGGTTAGCATTATGCATACAATAAGTTTAAATGTACATAACTATTGACAAAAGTTTCAGTGATTATAAGGTAACTTGAGACAATCGAATCACTATCTTCAGGGGAATGTAGAAAATATAGTTAGTCCATGCAAATGTATTAATGTGCATATTCTTAATTGGAAGGTCTAGATCCAGGTGTCTCTCTTCAAATAAATGCCTCCTAACTTTTGACTCTCTTTCATTAAAAAACAAAGAAACCACTGAAATTGCTGCTGGCAGTTAATAGTTGCCATGTATTGCTTGATGAATGATTTCATTAAGTTAAATGTTAGAAATCATGAAATTAGATGATAATACTTTTTTTCTAATCATATCATCCCAAGCAAGGTAGTAAAGCCACTAATAGACAAGCAGTTACTGGGTGTGGAAGAATTAGAAAACATTAAGGAGAGAGAACAATAAAAAAACAGGAATTAAGAAGACAGACAATAACAATTGACATTGCATCTAAATTTTTGAAGATCAAAATTGGCTGGAAAGCATGAAGCCAGAAGAGAGTTCCACAAGCAAGAAGTGTGAGAAAAGAAACTGTTAATATAGAACTTACGGTTACATCTAGTCCATTCAACTGTGAATTGATGAAACCTTGCCACCAAATCTAGTGCTGTGCTTAAATTCATAAAGTCTTGGTACAATAGTGAAGAGTTCATACGAAAATGACTGAAGCCAAGTTGCCTGGTCAGGGCCAATAATATTGCTGATTCTTCTTTGGGTTTTATCAAGAATCTCTAATATATAGCAGGAGCAATGGACCAGATCAAGTCATGAACTTATAAATATGCAAGATAGATTCTGAGGGCTAAAATTGTAATTAAATGAAAAACCTGAGTGATAAAATAAAAAAAAAAAATGAAAAGCACTTAAGAGATCAATTTCTGTTTATTAACTATTACAATAAGTATTTGACCTTTTTGCTTCTTGTGCTTTTCAATCATTTTTAGTCATTTTTCTCTCTTTCCAGGAACCTGTGCTGATTACTTTCCTGATTTCTTGTCTTACCAGACAGTACAATATCCTTAAGGTAAGTCATTAATTCCATAAAAAGCACATATTCCAAGCAGATTGGTATTGCACATTCATTTCAGAAACATAAACTTTGTGCCAGATTTTAAGGTCAGTCATTAGACTTACATAAATGCATAGCCACAAGGTGTGTCCTACCTGACAGAATTTGAGGCAAGGTTTAACAAGGCTGGATGCTCTTCCTGATGCCCAGCTCAGACATTTACAGTAGTCCAAGTTTTTTTATCACGACAAAATCTGCATTGTGTGGTGTAATGTATTTCGGCTCTGAATGTGAAATCTAAGAGCCGAGTTCAAATTCCAGTCAAGTTTGTTACATTCATTTACACATAAATACCCTTGGGAAAGGTATGAATGCATTTCTTCTCGCTCTCCATTTATGGGTTGAATAGCAGGATAGACTGGGTCTTATAGCCTTGGTTGGCAACCAGTCTACTACAGAAAGAAACGGCAACCTACTGGTGGAAAATCTTAGGCCTATTCATTTATGAATCAAAAGAGACCTGTTTGGCCCAGTGTGTATCATTTATGTCACTTAACTGACTGATGTTTCAGCAGAAGCTTGGCATTCAAGGCTTGAGATCCCATCCTAGCTTTATATATATATATATATATATATATATATATATATATATATATACACACACACATCTAGCTCTCACATTCTCTAACAGGAATCAAACTTGTATTCCTATACAAAAACTGTCATTTGACCTGATGTGCTGTACCATTCAGCTACAGAGAAATGTGGTTGGCAAAGTCTGAATTACTTAAATAAATTGTATCTATAAAAATAACATATAAACAGAATATATATATATATATATATATATATATATATATATATATATATATATATATATATATGGCTGTTGACTCTATAAGAATCTCATCCGCCCTTTGACTGGTTTTCTTTTTTGGCCTGTAGAGTGACATGGCTAAACTCCTCACCAGCAGAAATGTGAGTTGGGAAGCTGGCTTATGTGGCAGGTTGTACTGGGTTACATGTTACCAGTAGCAGTCTTGAACTTGACCTGACAGGAAACTGCTGGAAAATACTTTCTGGATATGAAATTCACATTAATGGAGTGTATGTGCACACACTGTGTATGCATATTTATGTAAAGAAGTAGTCATTGCTATTGTAGAATCCTTAATGTTGTAAGAAGAAAAACCTTTAGCTTGATATTGTCTTTATGAATAATTCCATTTTATTGTATTTACCATATTAGAGTTGGAACACTAACTTACAACTATACATAATCTTTTATGTTGTTGATATATCTCAATAGAGTTAGGCATTTTCTTCAGTAATAACTCAATTATGTTGGATTTATATTACAAAGGATGACAATAAAATATTAAAAGCATATTTTAAATGTTTGATTCTTTGTCTTTGGTGTTTTGCTCTTTTGTTACTCTTAAGATTTTTTCATTTTTTGCTGTCGTATAAGATCAGAGATATTAAATATTTATTTATAAAAGCAAATATTTTGAAACATGCCTGCTACATAAAGGGTGTAAGTAAATGAAAAACATTTTTCTTTTAAATTTATGTACAATAGCTGATGTTGAATTTTTTTTTTTTTTTAATCTTTCAATTTTTATTCATCTATCTGGAATGTCATCAAACTATTAACATCAACCACATTTTTGCTTTCTTAAATACCGATTAACTGAAAGCCTTTTTTTTTTTTCTTTTTTTTTCAATTATTTTTTTTGATTTAAAATTATCTAAGTTATTAGTTTTACTCATGTCCTTGTAATATTTTACAGGATATCTTTACTAAAGTTTTGGGATGTTTTGGCTTTCTTTTTTACTTTAAATTTAAAAGAACTAAAAAAATTTTGCAACATGCTGACTCATGTTGAAATCCTCACAGTATTTATTATTGTTGAAGTTATTGGTAACATTTTTTGTGAAGATTTACAAGCTCTACATTTCATTCAATTTCACAAACCAAGCGATGAAATTTGAATAAGCGGATTTGGTTGGAAATATACATTGACAAAAGCCCTACTTTGCAGTTTAATAAGTTCTTTAATTTGATTTCATAGGACTTCATGGTAAATGATATTTTTTAAGAAAATTTCTTTTTTTCTCATTTTAACAGCAAAGAATAAATTCTTAGGATTTCTTACTCTTGAGCATGCAATATATTGCTGGCCATGCATAAATATTTCTTTCTGGAGCTAAATTCCAACTTTTTAAAGCGTTTAGCCTTATGATTTGTTTATAGTTCTCGCAAACTCATGGCAAACTGGAAATGGGATTCTTGTACAGGGTGCAATGGATGTATTGTCATCTAAATTATACAAAAAAAAAATTAACACTGACACCTCATTTTAACAGACATATTTACCAAAATTACACACAAATATCTTGAAATACTAAAGAAAAATTTATTCAATAAAATCACCATTGGCTTCAACCATGGCCTTCAGATGACCAGGATCTTCTTCAACTCTTTTGGACACTCCTTGTTTAAGTTGGTGAATGCTACCATAATCCTTGCCTTCAGTTCATCTTTTGTTAGTCTCTTGCTCAACTGCACCTTACACATCAATGGGGTTGCAGTCTGAGGAGTTAGGTGGCCAGATGTAAGGCGTGATGTGGTTGCAGAGATTGTCTGACAGCCATGACTGGGTTCGCCTGCTTGTGTGGCATGGTGCAGAGTCCTGTTGCCACCAGACATAAGGTCTTCCAGCAGTCACCCCCTAGACCCAGGGCAGCTCCTCAATACACTTTATGTAGGCCTTCATGTTGAGTCTGTGACCCTGTTGGAATATGAATGGAGGCATAATGTCACCATCACTAGTAATCACTCCAAACACCGTGATGTTGACTGGATATATCATCCAACTTTTTTCCAAATCCTCTGCACTGTCCTCAGATTGACATCCAAACACTCTGAAATGTTCATATTGGAACTTCCAGCATGAATGCCAAGCAGTACAGCATGCCGTTTCTAAATTTCTGGCAGAGTGAATTGCATAATGGTGTTCTTTTTCTCACAGATGGTACTCAACTGACCCTGCTATACTGCACAGTTGACAAAATCGAAAGCAATGTGCATGTGCGAAATTAAAATTATGAAATGGTGACAATTTACTCATTGCCTCCACTATATATAAAAACTTTAAGAAAACATATGCGAAAAACAATATTTCATTTTTAGTAAGTATTTATTTTAATCGTTAAATTGTTTTTAAAATAGAGGGAGTATTTTGTATTTTAAATAATAAAATTTTAAATTATTCAAAAAAAAAATGAATGAAAATTTATTGTACTAAGCTATGCGCCCTATTAAACCAACTGTACTTTGTACCTCCTTACCTGTTTGCACTTCTCCCCAAAATTTGGTTTGAATAAGTCAAATGTATGGTAATTTTAGAGGGTGTGACAGATGGACTAACAGAAGTCACAGAAATTTATATATAGATGCTTTACTTTATTTTGCCAGGACAACATTAGCAGTGATATCTTCAATACTTATACAACAATATGGCCATTCACTATCAACAAGTAAGTAACATTTTATTAATTCATAACTTTTTAACAGATTCAGTTAATCCCAAGTTTTCAGTTTTGACAGACTTTTTGCAAGGGTTATTTCCTATAGTTGAATAATTTTTATGGATTTTAAAAAAGCAAGTTGTTTAAATGGCTGATTCACTTTCAGCTACGATTTTATGAGAACAGAAACCTAAATAATTTCGGAATACACCTATAACATTCTAAACTGACCTAGCACTATCACCTACACTCATGATCAAAAACATTTTAAATCTGTGGTTAGATTGTGGATCTGTTATTAGATTTCTTTTTGACTAGGTTTCAAACTGAATTTTGAACAGTAATTTATCCATCTATAAACCAACCTTGTTAAAAATTGTAGCTTGAAAACAAAATGAATAAGTCTAAATTCAACAATATTCAATATTTATTTTAGCATAAAATTACACTTGTAGTCATTAATGTTTTTTCTGAATCTTCTAATTTATTTGTTAACAGTTAAAAAGCATAAGCAAACAAAACTAATTTCCATTTATTTTAATATATATATCAAATAAACTGACAAAACAAGGAACTGTAAATATTTACACACAGGGTTTTCTTAGGAGTCTGTTTCTATTTAGTATTATTTTATGTAGTGAAACATTAGCCAGGTCCAAAGTTTTCCAGATTAGATATTTTAATTTATTCAATATATTTGTCACAGATTAAAAAAAAATGAACAAAAGCTACTTGCAAATTGAAAATCAGGTTTTATTTAAGATTAATGTTGACATTTTCTTATCTGCAATCATATCACAAATCTGTTGTTCTGCAGTCCATTAGCATACTACTTTAAATAAGATTTTCTTTCTCCTAGGTTGTTTGCTTTCCATAACTGAAAAAGAAGAAAAGAATTTGAAATATTTTATGACAATCCAGAAGGAATTAAATAACAGGAATTGATTTAAGCAAAAAAATATTTTCTAATGTCATAATAAACATTTCTTTTTGTCTTCCATCAGCATGGCTGATGCTAACCTCCAGGAAAGTGACTCATTGCACTTTCTTAAGCTAACATTTTTTGCTGGCATGAAAGTTGGTTCACTGCATTGTGCAAGACAATTTTTTTTTTTTTTTTGCCAGAATCCATCTTACATATTTATAAGTCATCTATCTTACATATTTATAAGTCATCATCTGTCCTTGCTTTGAATATTGCTGCCACATCTGGTCTGATGCTTCTGCTATGTATTTAGAGATTCTACATAAAATACAAAGAAGCTGCAATATTATTGGTCATCACCTGACATCAAACTCACTTTCTCACCACCATAATGTAACTTCCCTGAGGTTTTTCTATAAATACATTCATGGTAATTATTCTGATGAACCTTCCTCTTTCATATCTAAACTTTTATGAATTTAAGTGCAGTACTAGATTGGCAACAAGGTCTTATTTTACAGTTGAAATGGTTAAATGTAACCATAAGTTCTTTGCTAACAGTTTTTTTTCTCATTTGTGGAACTTCTAGCTTCTTGCTTCCCAGTTAACTTTGATCTTTAAAAATTTAATCATTATCTTCTGTCTTTTAATTCTTGTTCTTTTATTGTTCTCTCTCCTTAATAGTATTTTTTATTCTCATATTCTCTAACACTCAGTAGCCTTTTGAATCTTAGTGCCTTTTTTGCCTTGCTTGGGGTAAAATGATGAAAAAAAATAAGAAATAGGACTGAATATTATCAAAACACTGTTTATTTTTTTGATGGACTTATAAATGCCAAATTAGAATGCCTAAAATAAAAATGCACTCTTGTTAGAAGTGCTGTGTAATCAATGAAAGCAACTTTCCAAAAGCAATTTGTTTCCCTGAATGCATCGATTTTATACTGAAATAATACACATCAAGGGGATTACACATGGTCATTTAGACATTTTTATATTTTTGCTACTTATCTAATCATTTAATTGTAATTATTGTCCATTAGTATCATTTTTGCAGTAAAAAACACATTGATTTGGAAATTCTTGCAAAAATCAAATAATAGTCAGATTTTAATGAAAATTTCAGGACTTATTCACAAATGAATGATTTTTTTTTTTTTTACATCTGTTACCCTGACTTATTTAATGCTATGAAAATTCAAGAAATTAAATTTTCAATCACTTCATATTTATCTTCGGTAAAAGAACTCCTTGGAGAATTTGAATTATCAAAATTTTTTTTTTTTTTACCGAAAATCTGTTCTGAATTGTAAAAGAAAAAAAAGCAATAAAACTATGACATTATTTAATCAAAAAAAGTTTTTAATTGCTTTTATAAATAAGATATACTAAGGTCACTATTGTCTTAAGGAAAAATTTTTTTCCGATGAAAAATGAATTTTTACAAGAATTGTTTTCGTGGTTTTTTGGGTTTTTTTTTAATTAGAATAATTTATTAAGTCTTAAATCTTTTAAAATTTTGTATTAACTTCACCCTTGTAGATGATATTATTAACTAAAGATTATCATTTTTTTTACTAATCATAAATGGAAAAGTACAAATCATCAAACACCAATATTTTTTTTTTTAAATTTAGAATATTTTTGTATGTGTATAAATGTGACGATTTTTTTAGATACGGATGTTCATACATAACATTATCAGAAAATGAGAGCGATAATTATAGTAAATAACTATAGTAAATCCCAAATATCTAAAATTCAATAAAACATATTATGAAGAATATCTTATTAAATTTTTAAGATTATTGAGTACTTAAAAATTATATATAAAAGGTGCTCACATTATATTGTTTGATTGTTTTTCTATGGATAAAGCCCCTGTAGAACAACATTAGATAAACAGCAAGCTGTCAACACCCAACAGCTTATATAAAAAGCTATGCTGTGTTAAAAAAATGCATTTATGCAATATTTTGAACTTGAAGTAAATAATATTTGTTTCAAATCAGATTAATTATACTTTAAATCAGCTAATATTCTTCAAATAAAGTTTCAGAAAACTATATTTTATTTTTGGACAATTTTTAATAAAGAGAATTACATTGCAATGAAAGACTACTAAAAGTGTGCTAATCAGCTATTTTACCCTCCCCTCCAAACCTCCTTCCAGTCAATTTAAATTAGTTTTTGAAATACAGCAAAGTATTTTGCTTATTGGAAATATTAAATTCAATCTATTAGCTTGAAATGAAAACTAAAATAAAAGCTTCAAGAAAGATTTTTCATTTTAAAAAATTCATTTTAAACCTTAGGTATCACATTTTTTGTGGAGGTACCTAATACATATTCATTGATCTTTATTGTTAATATGATGAAGGAAGAGTGGATTTGTTCTCATTAAACTCTGAAAAGGAGAAAGATAGAAAAATACAAATGTCAATATATATAGATTTAGATTGAAAGCTGGATGATAAATAACTGAACCCAAATACTGAACCTTACATAGCCTGTTCATATTATTCTCAGCATCTTTCTTTATAACCACATTTCTGTTAGCTAAAGTCTTCCCTTCATCTGTGAGGAATTTATCCAGTATTCACAGACATATAGATAGTACAGTATTCTTTATTTCTAATGAAATTTTCTTGTTTATTAATACTTTGTTTAGTTTTTGAAAGGCATCTTTTGCTATTCCATTGCTCCATTGAACGTCTCTCTTACTTTTTCATCATCTGTTATAACAGTTCCCAGATAGTTAAAATTTCTACTGCAGAACTAGTGTTAAGAAAAAAAATTACATATTGTTTTTAGAATCTTCATTGATATAAGTGAACTGATATATATATATATATATATATATATAAGTTTGTTGGTTATAATGGTAGATGCAAACAGCTTTCTTTTGTATATTAATGTTAGATATGCAGATGACACAATATTGATAGTAGATGCAGAAAGTAAAATGCAGGAACTCATACAGAAGATAGTAAAGGAAAGCGATAAGAAAGGATTAAACATCAGTTGTAAGAAGACAGAATGTATGGTTGTCAGCAAAAAGAAGAGCTCAACATGTGAATTATGAATTGCAGATGCCAAAATCAAGCAAATACAAAAATATCTGGGAAATGTTTTAACAGACAAAAGATGTGATACCAAAATTCAAGGGCAAATTGAAACAGCAAAAGATGCCTTCCAAAAGATAAGCAAAGTATTAAAAAACAGGAAAATCTCATTAGTTAAGTAGTCTTTTTTTTTGTTTCTATGTAATATCAGTTCTCCTATATAGCAATGAATGCTGGACAATCTCCTCACATAAGAAAAGATTTGAGGTAATAGAAATGTGGTTCTGACAGAAGGATGCTAAGAATACCATGGACTGAACATATGAGCAATGACAAGGTTTGAGAGAAAATGGACACTTATACTTAACATCAGAAAGAGGTGGAAAGAAGGATTAGAAAATTTGACACAGGTCATATTAAGGGCAAGGGGGACAGAGGAAGACAGGACATTACTTACCTACCTAACAAACATGTGTAAATGCTTGGCAGTACAAGGATTAATGAGATAGGGAAAAGACAAAATTTACTAAGAGCTACAAAGGACAGGAAGTTGTGGAGAGCTATGAACCCCACGTCCTGAAGGGACAAGGCACATAGATGATGATGATCTGTAAATTCTTAAAGAAAACACAATTAGTACTGAACAAGTGGTGCTTAATGATAGAAAGTATGAGTCATATAGTCAAGCTGCTAGTGAGTCATAATGGTGTCTATGAGTGGTTATGGTTAGTAGTCACTGGTGTCAGCTGAGTGGTTGCTATGATCACAAGGTTCATGGTTTCTAGCTGTAGCCATATTTATCAAGAAAACAATTTTCTGTCTTGTTTGTAGAATAATTAGAAGCTAATAAAACATCCTATTGTATATCACAGTAGTTCTCAAACTTTTTTAACCATGGACCAATTTTACTCTTAACTTTTTTTGGTGGACCCACATAAACATTTGAAGAAAAAAAGCTTATTCTATTTTTTACTAATAGACAAGTTTAATTGTATTATAGAAATAGTAAATATATATACTTTATTTTGAAGTAAAACTAATTTAATGGATATAAGCTCGTATTTAGCATCTAAATTCTATGGAACATTTATGTACATTAGTAAAATGACTCATAACAAACCATTTTAAAATATGTGAGTAATTAATAAATTAAAAAAAAATTGTGAATTTATTCATTGGGATCCTTGTAGTTGATATTGCTCTGCAAGTTTTTTTTATATTTGGCTCCATCAATGATAGTCGAAGATCACCTCTTTTCACAATGTCAAGTCTATTACTATATTAATTAATTTATATTAATATTTTATTTTATTAAAATTTATAATTAATATTATTATTTATTATTAATATATTAAATTAATTTCTATAATAAATTATAATCTTTATATAATTTTCCTTTATTTTTATATATATATATATATATAATCCTTCCTTTATATATCCTCAGTTTTTATTCAACTTTTCCAATCAAAACATCCAGTAGAGTAAAAGAGATGCTAACTTACATCAGTTGATCTCATTTTCTGTTAGTTTTACAGTTGTTTTTTTATTTTTAGTATTTGAATATGGTGTAGAATACTGTAGAAATTCCAATTCTCACTTGTAACAACCATTAAAAAGTAAAATTGCTTTATGAATCACTCAGATATTACCATGGGCCCCATTTGAGAACCACTGGTTTAGCACATACATTCTTATTTGTTTATGCTGGTTACAATCAAGTGGAATGTCTGCTAGAAACCTCCCCAGCTCAAATTTCTGGTCAAATTCTATAGAAATTTAAATGCAATGTTATTCATCATCTTTTGTCTCCTTGAAACCTGTTCTTTTATTGTCCTCTCTCCAGATAATTGTTTTTTCTCTGAGTTATTCAGATTTTCTTGTGTCTTAGGGGCATTATCACCTTGCTTGGTGTCAAATTATTAAAAAGACAAAAACTGGGAATTAAATATTATTCAAAGTGTCTTATTGATTTTCATGTTTGTTGAAAATGATTATCAAAATGCATTAAGTCCTTTTGTATTTTACTAATAATAAGACTTGCTAATGACTTTTTTTTTTTTTTTTTTTTTCATTATTGCAGTAGCAGTTCAATGAATATTCCTGCTTTGGCAGAATCGGTGATGATTCTCATGCAACATGCCCTCAAAGAAGATGCCCTTAATCCATCATGGCTCAGGATTCAGGCAGATATTTACTATGGTGAGATGCTTTCTACTGGGCATTGTTTCTTATTAACATAACCATGGTTAAAATGGTTGTCCCAAACTTTATAAGTTCATTATCAATTTAGCTTTTACTGCACACATTATTGAACTATATAAAAAAACGTATTGTCCTTAAGATGGTAAAAGTAAAATTTTAAGCCATAAAGCTTAGTTTGATCCTCATTGGGTGTCCCATACTTTCATCTTTGTACCACATCTAAGCTATGCTTAAAAAATCACCATAACAATTGCAGGCTTTTTTTTTTTTTTTTTTTTTAAACTACACTTTTTACCCTGGTTAATAGGATTTTATTTAATGTAGTTCATTTAATTCATAAACAATTTTATTTGAACATATAAAATGTTACTTTAATATAGTTTGTTAAGGTGTTACAATACTATATCATGTAAGAAATAAAATTTATGAATTAAGTTTTTTTACATTTTTAAAAATTCAGCTGTATTAATAAAGTATTTAGTATCACCTATTGAATAAAATTGCTGATCTTGTAGTGATATTGGCTTTTTAATATAGAGAAGTCTTCTTGGCAAATTCATCAGATATCACATCTTAAAATATTATCAATGTGATAGTTTTCCCAATGCTTAGTTTAAAGTCATTTACCTAGAATTTAGAATTGATTTCCTTGCTCAGATGATTTCACTGTAAAAACACAGAAAATGATTACCATTGTAAACACACAAAGAATTTAACAACAGTTTGAATAATTGCATTGTCAGTGTGTTAAATGAATATTGACATCCATTTTGTCCAATGTCCTTGAATTTAAGTTACATTCCTAAAATCTTTGTAATCCTCTCAGTGGTTCCAGTGATCCCAAGAATAGGATTGATCAGATGAGCAATACTTGAACTATTGTAATAAATCATATTTAATTGCATATAATTTTTTTCTGTATTAGGAAAAATATATATATATATATATATATACACACACACACAGAGGGTGGATCGAAAATACTTTTACAAACTTTTGGGCAGATTCCTCACACCAAAACAAGGACAAACATATGCCTGCAAATTCTTTGTTTTTGAGTTATCAAATTTAAAGTTTATGGTAGATGCTGTTAAATACACAATCCATAAATACTTTTACAAATATTGCTGGCAGGTTTCTGATTCTATTATTAAATACACCACATTGTGATAATAGAAGATCTGCTAGGAAAGGTGAAATGTAAGAATCTGGATGTGAATTTACTGTGGATGATCTATTGATTTGTCATCAATTTTGCTTAAAATTGTTCTTGATATAAAAAAATTCATATATTGTTTTCTCTTATGTAGGCACACTAGTAAACATTTCTTTCTTTCTTTCTTTCTTTCTTTCTTTAGTAATAATTGTGAATTTTACAGTTTTTTTTTTTTTTTTTTTTTTTTTTTTTTTTTTTTTCATCCTGGCCAGATGGGCATTTTTCTCCCTCCACTTCGGTGAGGTTAGTTGGTATGTGCATGATATGCACACATTGACTACACTTTCACCTTCTTGGACTTGCCTAGAAGTATAAAGTTCCCATTTTCACACAACAGTTACTGACTGCCTGATCATTGCACAAAAACATATGAGACTGGTAGTTGGGCTCAGTCACTGTTCAATGAAAATTTAATATATATATATATATATATATATATATATATATATATATATATATAATCATTGACATATTTTGTTACCAAAAGTAACTTCTTCAGACAATATTTTTGTTATTGGAATCAGTATTGTATAAACAAAATAAAATAAAATTTTGGTGTGAGAATTACAAAAACACTGTTTACATTTTACTTTGAAAACATTAAAAAGACAGGGACACTTGATCTTTAAATTTTAATTTTGATTTCTGATGTATCAAGTTTTTCCCAGTCAGCTTTTTATTGTTTTTTTTTTATTTTTGTTATTGCTTTTAATTATCCCACATTGTATTAGTAGTAATTTTGTGAGGAAAAGTGATATGTTGTATGTTCATGGACATTATAAAGTATAAAGTTCCCAGTTCTTTGTATGTTCACGGACATTATAAAAGTATAAAGTATAAATTTCCCATTTTCACACACAATTACTGGCTGCCTGATGATTGCACAAAAACATATGAAACTGGCAGTTGGAGTCAATCACTGTTCATACTTATACAAAGAAATTTACTATAGAGCATTCTAAAATGAATGCACTTTCAGCACATTTGTCAACCAGACTAACTCCTTAACTATTACTATACCTTGAGATACCTTCTAAACTGCAAGTATTACAGATAAGAGAAACTATAGCTTTCAACTACTAATACAATTTTCTGTCACATATTCCAGAAAAGAATCTGAAACTTTAGCATGTTATATTCAGAAATAGATGAACTGTTATCTAAATTTATTAGTTAAAACATTTTAAAATTTTCTCTATTAACTTTTTTACTTTAATAATTTTACTATTTTATTTTACATCTTTCAGCTCACAATCAATATAATGCAGCTATGAAGTATTACTTGGAGGCTGGTGTTGTGTCTTCAAATTATTTTGCCATTCCAGTACCTCATCCTATATATGATGAAGCAGTAAGTGGAAAGAGGAAAGCAACTTATTGCTACAGAATTATTGTTTTTAGTTTTTCGTATTATGGGATGTTTATTTTTGCTTTATGATTTTCATTGATACAAAATATGCAGTATTAGAATTGCATTAATCACTAGCCTTGATCTATTATTGTTGATACAAAGTCATTAGTAAAAATATTAGTCATTGCTTTTTGCAGTAGAGTATGCATACAAGATTTTTCTGGGTTACAGTTCTTTTAAAGAATATTATATTGACTTTGGAATGTTGACATTGCTTGTGTATTCAGTCAGTTTCAACTCATTGATATCAATATTGGAATTTTTTTTTCTTTGTAAGTATGATTCAGATAATGTCTCTTGAAATAACTTTTGGCAAACTTGGACCTTCGTGCCTGCAAAATAAATAGTTTGTCAAAAGGACAGTTTTTCTGTTAAAATGCGATGATTAGGATTGTGATAAAACCTAAACACATGAAAGTGAATTTATATATTTTCTTTGTTCTAAAGAATTGACAACAAAAATAATAAACACTATTTATTTATTATATTATTTATTGGAATGGTTTGCAAAACATTGGCTAATTGCCAATTGATTCAAACTTTATAAAATGGTAAATAATAAGGATTTTCTTATGGTTGGTTCACATATTTTAATTATTTAATAAATGTTTATAAATTTATGAATAAAAAATTGTTTTTGTATTTATTTGTTGATAAATTGATAAATGATAAATATTGCATTGCATTAGTTTTAATAGAATTGTATTAGTTTTTAGAATTATTCTTGTAAATACACAATCTAATAAATAATTAGTGTTTAATATTTTTATAAATTCTGTAGAACAAGAAAAATGTATAAATTCACTTTCATCATATGTTTAGGTTTTATTATAATTCTAATCATCACTTTTTGAAACTAAACATTGCTGAGGAGTGAGCGTAGTTAAGATAATACCAGTGTCAAGAGAAAAATTGTCCTTCTGACACTGTGTTTTTTTTTTTTAAGCATGAAGATCCAAGTTTGCCAAACTTTTATTCTTCTCAATCAATTTATATATTTTTAAACAAATCTTTTGATAAAGAATGCTACATAATATATTTTTTATTTTTTATTGGGTTTTACTAATCTAGACATATTAGCACATAGGGAGAACAAATACAACATTATACAAGTATACTATTTTTAAAATGTTTACTGATAAAAATGTCATACTATACTTGAGTAGATACAGTATTCAGATTGAAAGACATCTGAAAAAGGACAGAGAATTCAATGGCCAAAAGGTGATAACAACAACAAAGATGGGGACATTAGTCCAAATGTAAATAATGATACTCCCCCCCCCCATCCCAGAAATTCAGACAGAAATCATCTTATTTGTGAAACATTTATCTTTACAGGTTTATAAGAAAATGATCAAATGCTGTTCCTATCTACAATGCCATACACAGGTAATAAAAAGACATCATTTTGTTTTTTTTTATGTGATGTTGATCTTATGATTTCTATAACAAATTACGAGAAATGACTCAACATAAATCTGTCTTCTGATGTTATACTACTGAAATGAAGCAGTTCATATATACATTAATACTTTTGTTATTGAGTGTGTAATCATTATTAAGGCTACCTAGCATTAAAATGGGTTTACAATTTTCATTTTATACTTATGCCATATGTTGAAACTTTGGTTCACATTCAATCACTGAAATAAACAACATGGAGGATACTTAACAACTAAAAATTATTTGATAATCAGTGGCCATATTGAACTGAAAATTGCTTTCTCCAAATTTGTTTAAACAAAAATTGTGTTGCAGTCTGCCATTTTTTCTGTTTTATGACAACAAATATACAGAAATCAGATCATTTATAATGACAATATGCACTAAAGTGGTTTAATTTCAATTAAGTAGCAAACCACCCTCATTCCCTCCATATTTCATCAGTGAGAAATTTCACTTGAACACCTTCATATGAACAATTGTTCTGTGGAACTGACACCCAAAATGTTTCCCTGATCACTACAATCTTAACCTTTTCAAGTTTAAAATTAACCATTATCTTCCCCTCCCCTCCTATTTGCATAAGTTGCCACTTAATTTAACCTTCTACCTTGTATGGCCCCAGGCCTTGTACAGAGTAAACTTTACTGTAAAAAAAAATAAAAAATAAAAATTGGTGGCCATTTTGTTTTTAAATTTTTGTATTTTGCAACATATAGCTTAACAACAACAAATATTGCCTTTTTATTCTGAAAGTTGTTTGGATTATTCAACTCATTCCCTTTTAATGATATAATGCCACAATGGAGGATTTTGCTCTTATTACTTATAATAGCATCAGAGTTATTTTCTTTTCTATTCAATATTCTCTTTCAATGAGTCTTATAGAAACAGAAATACATAATTTTATATTCTAATATTTCTTTTTCTGACTTTACCAGGTTGCTGTTTTATGCCAATTTCTTGAGCCAGTGGACTATCCAGCTGCTTTCAAAGCACTACAAGAAACTCAAACCTATGATGCCCAGGACACCTACTACTGCTACATTTGGGACCTCAATATCTTAGAGTACCTCACTCGTATCCTTTATATATATCTATTTCCCATGAATTTAAATTTTATTCCATTAGATGGATAACAAGTAATTTAATGGTTAAATTACCAAATTCATATTTTGTTTGTAATGTCTCACTTGAAAGTTTAATTTGAAAGATTAACCTATAGCCTCCTGCTATCAGTTTAAACTGACAATTTTTTTTTCCATATAGCTACACTATAATTATAAATTAAAATCATAGAAAGTGAAAATTTCACTGAGATATGTTGGAAAATTTCCAAGTTTTCATTTGAAAATTTCTAAGTTTTTATTTGAAATCAAGAAAATATGAACTTTAAATAAAATTGTCACAATATTTAGTGGATGGGGGTCAGTTTAAATTGATGCCAAAAGAATATGGGTTAAATCTGTTTATAATTTTAAGAATATTCTTACTAAGTTAAACTCTAGTAAATAATTTTAAGAAGAGTCATCATTACTCCATGAGTTATTTAGACTATTAAAGTCATCCATTGCATTGCTTTTGTTGATAATACAACATCTTGGCTGATCCATTCTATATAGTCTTATTTTTTTTAGGTGCATAAAGAAAAAGATTGTTGATGTATAACCTGGAATCAACTATTTCAACTCCACTGTGTATTGTCTATGGTGGCCCGAATTACTGGGAATGAGCTGAGGCAATTGTTATATATTTGACATCATTCTTATTATTTACCCACTTTTCTGTATAAAATAGAACTTTTATTGTGAAATGACCTTTAAAAAATGTTTTTATTATCATTTGCCCATATTTATGATATAGAAGAATAAATCATAAGGTTATAGGTTAATGGTGAAATACCTGGATTTTTTTTTTATTTTTAGGTAAGGTTGCTGTTTTAAGTATTTACAAGTTGTGCTAAAAGTAGTAAGTCAGTCTTTGTTACCATACTGTATAAGAATCGATATAGAAACTTTTCACTTTTTTAATTTTCACTGCTGATTTGAGTTTTAGTCTGCTTTCATTTAATGTTTCCTAGAAAAATTGAACCTTAAAAGGTACACATCAAATGTAAAATGTCTACTTTATGAATAGTCAATGAGATTGCTTGTTTTTATTACAATGTTACAAAAATGAATCTAAAAAATTACACCTTATCATATGATTAATTTTAAATCTTAAATGTCTCAAAAGCCCTAAACTTAGTTGCTCTTCTCATACACAAAATCAAGCAGGCTGTCCTAGAATAAAAAGCTGTAGGGGTGGTCTGGGAGTACTGTCAAATGTTAGTGTGTCTGGGGAGGCTAAATAGGATGTTAAAGTATAGGTTAAATAAAAAGTAAGTGGGGGCTAAATTAGATGTTAAAAGTAGCGTTCTTTTATTTTATTTTATTTTTTTTTTTAATCATTTCACCCCCCCAAGTAAGGTAATAATGCCACTATGACGCAGGGGGGTTACAGAGTGTGGAAGAAGAGACTTTAGTGGGGAGAAATAAAGAGAGGGCAATAAAGAAACAAAGTTCAGAAAGACAAAAGATGGCAATTAACATTGCATTCAAATTTTTGAAGATTGTAGTGGCAGGGAAGTAAGTAATCAGAAGGCAGTTCCACAGGTGAGAAGTGCGAGAAAAGAAACTGTTAAAATAGAAGAGATAGTTGCATCTAGCTAGTGAAAAAAGTTGCCAATCTAGTAGCATGCTTAAGTTCATGCAGTCAAGACACTAAAGAAAAAAAGCTCATCAGAACAGTTTCCATGAAAATATTTATTATACCAAATATAAAATTTTAAAGATTTAGGATTCTCTATTTTTTTTATTAGTGCCTCATAAAAATTAACATTTTTTTTTTTTTTTACATCTATTATACTATATTTTCATAAATTGGAGCCAAGAAGACAGTTTTAATCCTCTGTTTAGTTCGCAATAAAAAAATTCACCCTTAATCCCTCCTCTATAGCACCATAGATGTGGACTGCATTTAGCAAAAGAAAAAGTAAGTCAAAGTAAGTAGGAGTTTATGCATATACAAAGACAAAAATAAATTGTTATGACAAATTGAGTTCAGTCATGCATTTACGTTGGCGAGCAATCTAAAAATATATGAATATTGTGGATTTTTCATTTCCTCAAGTGTATGAGATTAAAATAGCTTATCAATTATTTCCTCTTCTGTCTTTTCACTTCCTTTGACTTTGCACTCTAGAATTTTGCAGAGTCTGTCAGATCCATTTTGTCTGGAAGATGGTGAAGTGGAGAGACAGTACCTCAACTATCACCACCACCAAAACTGCCTTCACCCACACTTTCAGATTAAGGTGTTGGCTCTCATTTAATTGGAATCATTTACCAAAAACCATCCAGTAAATAAAAGATGCATATATTTGCATATGTATTTGTTTGTGTGTGTAATATATATATATATATATATATAAACATAACTTTTATCCCTTCCTTCACTCTGCTATCCAGTCAGTCTGTTGGTTGAGAGGTCACCAATAAAGTTAACGATGGAAAAGTAAACAGGAAGTCATTGTGGCTTACCATTTCTCTTGTAAATATATCTATACAAGTCATATATGTATGTGTATTTTTATTGTGTAAGCCTCTGAGTTTGTGTACTCATCATTGTTTTGTCTAGATTAAAATGCTTCAACTCAAATTTAAGGTATAAATTAAAATGTTTCAACTCAAATTTTAAAATGTAGATTTTTATTTAATCATATTCATGACATCCCTCTGTCTTTTCTATAAATATTTTCATGGCAGTTGTTCTAATGAACTCTCCTCCTTGGTACCTCAACTGCTTGAATTTAACCGTACTGTCTCATAACTCGATGTAACTGTAAGTTCTATTCTGATAGTTTCTTTTCTTGCCTGTGGAACTCTTCTGGTTTCTTGCTTTTCTGTCATCTATGATCTAGAAAATTTTAATTGTAATGTCAATTGCCATTTTCTGTCTTTCTGAATTCTGTCCTTTTATTGTCCTTTCTCCTTGCTAAAGTCTTATTCTCCGCTACTCCCAGTAACTCCTTGAGTCTTAATGGCATTATTGCCTTACTTGAGATGAAATGATTGAAAAAAACAGTACATATTTTTATTTTAAAACATTTGTTTTAAATATTTTTTATTTATTTCATGCTTATGTCTCTTTGAAAGATATAAACCCTACATTTCTTATATACATTGAGGTCCATGAATCTGCATGCTTTATGTTGAATTTTCCATTTCTTGATTGGCTGATAGAAAAGGCAAGGTTTTGCTTAGTCATTCATTAATGACTTAGAATTCCAGGTGCTATAAGTTGAGGAAAAAAAACCCTCAAAAAACTCTCTCCTTGTCAAAAGGAACTGGGTTCAAAAATCATGAAAAATGTTGTCCTCTTGAACAGTGGCTCCCAAACGGTGAAGCATGCTGTATAGGTGCAACAGAAGAGGATAGCAGGTAAGGTGGAATGATTGAAAACCAATCAAAGATTTAGAAAACAGTTTCAAAAAATTCATATGCCAAAAATAAATGATTTCAAAATTTAAAATATTATTTTGGATTACTTGTAATTACATGCATATGAGACCAAGTATAAATAGTTATAAATAATTGTTGACCAATTTTATCATTGAGATATTTTTATTGGAAAAGAAAGTTATTAATGATTCTGGTTTAGAATCCACGGTTATCTCCCTTTAACCCTCTCTCTGTTTTTTTTTTTTATTTTTAAATGTACTTTTTATTATATAAAATTTTTGGGAGGTGTGAACAAATTTTCATTCCAAAAAAACGGCTCAGAGAAAAAAAATTTGAAACCACTGCTTTAGAACCTTTTACCTTCGTCAGTGAATCCAGTAGGATTCAATATCAGCCAAAGAGGATTAGTCATCCATTCTTTCCACTGTTTGGTCATCTGGTGCACATTTGATGCTAGAATTCTTTTCTTTATTTGATTTAAGATTCTCCTCTATCTTAAGATCCTTTTCCGCTTCTAAATCTCCCTTCCTTTTTATTCTTCCCTTTGCCAAGCCCCTGTCTCTTCAGCTGTCCCAGTTGTGTGCTCATTTCCTTTGCAGACCCAGACAGGAAGTTGTTGGCTTCAGCTTAGTTTGCTAATGAACATCTATAGCATTGTCTTGCTGACACAATATAATGCTCCTTAGTAAGGGACTTTTTCATGACTAAACTAGATGGCATTGTCCTGCTGATAAGAGTATTTTCTTTATACTGAAATTGACATATAGAAAATACACACACATGGGGAGATTGTCCAACATTTACTAACATATGCACTTTTTACAAAGTATACAAATATTACACTATCTTAGACAGTGTACAGATACTACACTTTCATCCTAAGAAGGTCAGGGAGTAACACCTTGATACAAACTGAATATATAAATATTAAGCAGATATACCAGTATATGCAGAAATAATTTTTGCAGGTGATGTTACTGTATTAGTACCCCCCCCACCCACCAATGATGCTTTTCGATTAGAATTTTTTTTTTTTTTGTCTGTTTGTCTCTGTGGAGACAGAACTTATTTTTCTTTTGTGTTCTGTCAGTTTATTCAGTTAGCACATTTTGTGCTGCTGTAGTCATCACTTCTACTATTTCTGTTTTAATCGTGATTCATGATGACATTCAAGGAAAAATAATACAATGGGTCACCAGTTCCTTCTCCAGTTCTATTCTCTAATTGAAAAAAAGAAAATTGATGGATAGTCAGCTTTGGCACAAGGCTATATTTCTTCGTCACTCTAGTCCAGCTTACTCTTAATAGCTTTCAGCATCATGCTACCAACTGCAATACTATAATCCTTCTCCTGTCAGTACAATTTTAACCAATTTATACGATTTTGTGAAAAAGTCCTATTTAATTTAGACCTTAATACAAAATACATACACACATTTATAATCATCCATATCTATCCCAACTAAGCATCTGACCAGCTCCCTCCACATATCTTGGTTGTGTGCCAATAACTGGGTTGAAAGTTGAAAATCATTCACGCCTAGTGTATCTTGGGCAAGTAGACCTGGTGGAGCCCATCCCTCTTCAGCCCTTGCCCTCCAACTTGAATGCTTCACACCTGCATGCATATGGTTATAGAGATGCTGAGTACCATCCTGTGATATTTTGGTCCTAATCTATTATACCTATTGACAAAATACAGCAATAGTTGTAGGTGAGCTAACTGAATGAGACAGATGTTGTTTCATCATATGTTCAGATCTGGTAATTGTACCATCCAAGGTAGCTGTCAATAGTCTGGCAGAACATATTTAGTAGCATAGATGTTGATGTAGATTTTGTTCTTCCTTTTCTTTTTTATTTTCTAATATTTCTTTCACTTTTGCTAATATCAAATCACCGAGGCCTCATCTTCACAGCAAGGACCTGCCATGCCACGTACATTGTAGTATATCACTCACATTCTCTCTGTATTCCATCAGTGAGAAGTAAGTTCCACTTGAACAGCTTCTTCCCACGAACCACTGCTCTGTGGAACAGACTCCGAAGAGGATGTTTCCCTAATGATCACTACAATTTTAATGTGTTCAAGTGTAGCGTTAACTGTTATCTTTTTCTCCTGCCTATACAAACTGCCTCCTAATGTAATCCTCTACTGCAAGTGGCCACTAGGCAGTGTACAGAGTGAACCTTACTGTAAAAGAAACAAAACGAGGAAAAACACCTATATAGTGTACCCAGTATATACAGCAATTCTCCAAAATAACCATCCAACCTGACAAAGGTTCACAATTTGAATCCCTCTGAAACTGAACAAAGTGTTTCTCTTCCTCACATGGATACTTTCAGTGTATTGAACCATATCACAGTATGCATCACTGTCTGAAGCTCAGACATCATGGGATGGCCAAAGACCTTTTGAAAATTTTATCATGTACAGCTTAACCTCTACATGCCAGTGGATCAGAACCAATGACTGAGTTCACTACGTCCTCATTGGACAATAAATATTAAAACATTTCTAATTTACATTTTCATGTGTTAGTTGTAGATTTTTGTGCAAGCTAAACACAATCCAGGCTCCAGACACAAATTTTACAATAATTGTTTCTGATTGGTCAATATATCTCAAAGTCGTAACAACGCCTACGCACACGTGTTTAAACACAAAATACCGCCAAAATCTTGAAACGTGTTCGCAAGCCTCACACATGACTAAGAATGCAAATAAATACAATGCACGAACACAAATTTACCAGTGAGCTTTGTGATGGATAACCAATTGCTAAACTACTCCGCGTCACTTATACTTTTGAAGTTGCAAAGTTAAAATTTATTAATACAAAACAACTCCAATGCACTCACTCATCAATCACTGGATTCAATCACCATAAACAGTGGAAGTTCTCAACCATAAAACTTATATTCATCCAGCAAACATTTCAGTTGATTTTCTAACAAAAAAATTATTACGGTCAAAGAGGGACAACTTCTTAAACAAACTTAAAATTCACATCAAAAAAATATTACTACACAAACTGTTTAATATTACGTAAGTTTACAAACCTCAATCATACTTTGTATGCCTTGCTTTGTTCCTTTGTATGACTTACTATATATAAAATTCTATTGTTTGTTATTCAAAAAAAGAGATTTATTATTATTTCTCATGTTGTTCTGATTCTATGTGTGAATATTTAAATTTTGATGTTAGTGGAAATTGTTAATTTATCACGCAGCCTATTTCTCAACAGTTATTACCCATATGATTAACACATCCACTATAATCAATATATGGGTCAAAATCAGCACAATGTTCAGGATGAAATTTTAGTTTCTCTTAGTGCATAACCTGCAGACTTGCACAAACACAATTATGAGGGAATGCTGAAAAGTTCTCAGCCCGATCAACTTCTCAAAATCATTATTTCAATAAGCAAACATCAGAGTACTAATTTTGGGAAGTGGTTTGGGCTGAGAACTTTTCACTACCAACTTACATGTATAGTAACTATTTTGTTAACTGCTTTCCATTTGTGTAAACTTTGTTGCTGTCATAAGTATTTTTCCTCTAATATATATCTTGCTTAAATGTTTCCTTAACACTCAGACATTCACACTAAACGTGGAGAGCTGATAAAGAAGCAGCAAGTGGTAAGTTGATTTTTTTTTTTTTTAGTTTTAAATCTAAGAAAAACACTATTAAAAATGAACAGCATAAATTTTTTGAAAATATTCTTCATAGAAGGAGAACACTTAGGAATAAGGAAGATACTGTAAGCATTCTTCTACAATCTGGAATATGTTTCAGCTTTAAAGATTTTGATAAGTAAAAACACTAAATTTAGTAGTCACATGACCTATTACAGAAATTATGTATGATATTGTAGCTGTTTTATCTTTTATCAATTTTTGTTATTTATTAAAGACCTAAATAATAAACAAGTTAATTTGATGGTACAGTCTGACCCTCTTTAATCCAAAACCCTTGGGACCAGGCTGCTGCTGGATGAGAGATATCACCCCTAAAAAAAACCCTATGTAAACATAGTCTTGCCAGCTCATTCCAAATATATATTGCTGTGTTATCAAAGCATACTCATACTTGATCTTTTGAACAGGAGTAAAGGTTTATCCCTTGTTTCCTGTTTAGGATTGGGTTTCCAATCCCTTCTAAATTCTACTTCAATTCTATACTCCTAACATCTTTGTCTAAACTCTGAAATTTATACTTTTATTAGGTTTCTGGTTCTTTCTAAAGATTTTTTTTCATTCTCTTTCATTTCCAGTATCCCTTTGAATCTTAGTGGTATTATCACCTTGCATGGGGTGACTTGAATAATAATAATAATAATAAAAAAAAAAAAAAACAAAGCTTAAAACAATCATTAATGTATCCAAGCATGTTTTTTATTGTTTCATGCAATACAAAGTCTAAACCCAAAAGTAATATATATTTACTATCCTGAATGGGTGAATTTGCAGCTATATATAAGAAATGAGCAAGACTGTTTTGCCAAAACAATCTGCTACTGTCAGCAGCTGGGGAAAGTTGTAAATATGTGGCATTGTTCTTGTAGCTGCTTAAAAAACTAATCGTGGCTGATTCAAATAAAAGTGCCAGACCATGAAGTAACAGAGTATAAATAGGTTAGACTGTATTTTAGTTTTATTTAATTAAATTAATTATTCCCAATTTTCAGATTAATACAACAAAGTGCTATCCAAAAATTTGGGGAATGAGCATATAAAAAGTGATTTATTCTAATTCCAAATTTCCACTGTCCATTTCAAAGTCATCTCTTGCTTGCTCTTTGCATAGAATAGTGGCAAAAATCTATACTACACTTGGTTTTTATTCCTTGAACTTTTTGGTAACACTTCATATATTTTATTAACACTATTATTGCATGAATGGCAATGAATTAAATCTTTTATGATTTTGTGTCTAATGAAATATTCTCCTTAAAATTAATGTTAAAATTATATATATTTTGTACAGTTAAAGGCACTAGGGCAGATGGACCTAAATGTCTGCAATCCTGAGGATATCCTGCATGAAGCAATCCAACATCGGAAGAGCAATTTTCTTCGAGCAATGGCCAAAATGTATTTGTAATGAACAAAAGGAAAAGAAAAAAAGGATACATCATGGTTACTGCTAACATTTACCCATTGTATCTATAAGGTCACAGGTTTTTAACAAATCCTAGGGTAAAAGATCCACATTGGCATTAACCACACATCATCATCATCCATCTTGATCTGAAATTATTTATGAGGAGAGATAAAAATTGGATTGAATCTTTGAAGATCTCTGAGATATTGACTTTCCTGCCTATTTTTTTACCTTATGTCCCTTCTCAGGTACAATGAATTAAGAGATGGGTACTATTTCATTAATAAAAAAAAAGTAGAAATAAACACCTTTTTTTTTTTTTTTTTTTCTTTTTTGTGTGCAACTTGAGAGCTCGAATCTAAAATGGAGTTGAAGAAAAAATGAGACACATATTCCTGCTCAAACTTAGAGAACTGAGTTCCAATTCCATTATATTCACTTACATGCAAACATGTTTAGGAAAGGTATAAATTTACCTCTCTCCTGGCCCTCAGCTATAGGTTAATTATTAAGCATTATCTCCCCAAAATTCATACAATCTAAAAATATTTTCTGGCTTTAAATAGCTTGTAAAAGGTTGATAAGATGTAAACAATAAATCAATATAAAATGAACACATTTAAACCAAGAAATACCAATATATGTTGAAAAATATACAGATATACAAACCTGTGTATGTATTTAAATATGCACTTACCAAAAAATACATTTACAAAAATATAAACACAAACTGTAGTTGTTTACTGAGCTTAGCTTTTCTCACAAGGCTACAAGTTTACAGTCCTTAGTGATGATTGAACTCACTAATAATAATAATGAACTGCAATTTTACTAAGGTTACAACAAGTGAATGTAAAGATCATTATACAATAGTCATGGTCTCCTGGACTAGCTTGCCAAATTGTAAATAATAATCTCTTTAGGCTGGCACAAGGTTACAGTAATGGAGAACCCAGGAAAGACTGAACTTACAATACTAGTTGTTTACAAAATCTAACTTGAAAACCATTGTACCATGGTAGACATCCATAAATTGTATAAAGAAAAGTATATCCACTAGGATATCTCAAAACTGCAAATGTTAAATAAATTGAATAGCTATACAAAAATAGAAAGGGACCATGAGACAAGGTTGAGTCTTCTCCCCAGATTTATTCAACCTCTGCAGCAACCTCTTATCCATCCTCTTATGACAGTGAATGCTAGACAATCTCCCCACAGATGAGGAAAAAACTAGAGGCAGCAGAAATGTGGTTCTACAGAAGGAAGCTGAAAATTCCACGGAAAGAGTAAGTAAGCAAAAAAAAAAATTGTCTTAAAGAAAATGGCAACAGAAAGAACACTTATACTTAGAATCGGAAAAATTTGGCTGAAATTCCTTGCACACATAATGAGGAAAGAAACCTTTGAAAACTTAACCCTCATGGGATATACTTGAGGGCAAGAGAGATAGGGGAAGGCAGCAAGCCACTTGATAGGATTGTGTAAATGGATGGTAAAATTGGGTGTGCAAGCCTTACCAAAGGGAGAAAAACTGCTAAGAGGCACAAAAGATAGAAAGTTGTGGAGAGCCATGATCACCCATGTCCTAAAGAGACATGGCACATAAAAGAACAACATCTGTAAAACAAGGTAAGTCTTTGTGTGTGTGCATGCACACAGACACACACATTGATATGTTAGACCTGAAAAGCCACTGCTATAAAAGATTTGAAATGGTCTTCCATCTTTGTAGATCATGTTATTATTGAATTCACTCTGAAGTAATCAAAAGAATTTGATTGCAAAGTGAAGGATCAATAAAGTCTTTGGGGTTTTTCTAAATGATTTAGAGACAAGTATCATTTTATGGCTTTTTATCACATGCCAACATTCATTGACTGCATGTTACATTTAGTCATCTTCAGACGTTTTTTTTTTTTTTTTAAATTCAACCTCAGTTAAGATCATAGACTCCACAACCCTGTACTGCAGTTAATTGTGAATGCCAAAATCTTTTCAATGGTTGTATAGTATGTGCCTCACCAGAGCCATATGTAAACATACAACGCAATCCTTGACCAAGCTTTCAATGATCAAATGACATTTTTGGAATGACTTGTCAGGAAACATTACACCACTAGTTTTTTTTTTTTTTTTTTTTTGCTTTTATTCAACCTCAGTCGAGGCAGTTAATTGCAAACCTCATAATCTTCTCAATGGCTGCACCTCACCAAGGATTCAAACTGATTTTCAATTCAGAGTTGTCCTTCTAGACTAGTTGCCAACCATAGATAAAGAGTCCAGTCAGCCCTGCTATCTAGCCCATAGCTGGGAGAAGGGATGAATTCATCTCTTTACCAAGAGTATTTGTGTGAAAGTAAACGTAACAAATTTAGCTTTCCAATTTCTCTTTCTAAGCTCTTAACCATTATGTGACCTTGTATATACAAATGCCCCTAACCATTACGCGTCCTGCACATCAAATGCTACATTTCAGAACAGCTAGAGGATATAGTGGCCAAAATGCAACAATGGACCAAGATGGTCAACTGGTTGATATTTAATTTCAAACTGAATTCTGAGTTTTCATGATGATTTTTTTTTTTTTTTTTTTTTTTTTTTAAGAGAAAAAAAAAATCTTCTTTGCTTTATTACACATGATCAAGCACTTGAAATTTATTTTAATTTTTACAAAATATGTTTTAGTCTTCTGTGGAGGACCAACTATTAGGAAATATATATATATATATATATATATATATATATATATATATATATATATATATATACATGCAAAAACCTTTGCACATATATATATATATATATATATATATATATACACACGCACATCAAGCCAAAATATACAAACATAGTTGACGTCCAGACACAGTGTTTTGTTTAGACTGGGCAAGCCACTCCTAACTAAAGAGAATTAGTATCTGGGCGTGGTCTAACTGGCAATGTAGAAAGTAGGTGGTTCCTGGTGTCAATGTTTCCTTCATTTTGGTTGCCGCCTTTAACTATTGTACTGTTATCATCATCATCTCTTGGTTGCCCAGAAAAGATGGAGGAAGTTTCAGGAAGTGAAAATAGGGTGATATTGTGCGTGTGTGTACACTTCTTGTGTTGTCAACTGCTCATTTTTAATAATTTTTTATATTAAATATAGATTTTGTTCCCATTACTGGCACTCACTGTGTGAAATATATATATAATTTTGTCTGTACCAGCAGTCACTATATGGTACACACACACACACACACACACACACACACATACATATGCACCAAATAATCCATCTTAATGAGGGAAGGAGATGTCAGCTCTGTATATCATCCCTTCTCCTAGCAGGTCCTTTACTGAGCTTGTCTCACTACCTTTCCACCCACTTAGGCATGATGTTTTTGACACAAGTTTTGCTGCCTTGATTCCTAGATAGGATCTCATTCAGTAACACTCTACCTTAAGTGTTTCTTGAGTCTTGGATGAACACTAGTAAAGAAAAAAATCTTAAATCCAAAGATGAGTATTTTTTTTAAAGTTCACACAATTTACAAGACTAACCTTTTAATGAACTTAACATTTAATAGGTCCCAACAGGACAGAAAACAAAACAAAACATATTTATGTAGTTTTCTTTTCTTTTAATGCCACGTCTCGTCAGGATGTAGGCAATTATGAATCTTCCACTGATTTTTCTTTATTATCTCTGAATTGTTATGCCTTCTTTCAGCATCACCAATCAGAACGTGAATTTTCACCCATCGTGGTGAATGGGTGTTTTCTCAGGAAGGCTCCATGCCTTGAGTACCCATTGTTTATTTAAATTCGACCCAGACCTCATGGAACCTCATACATATGATATATTGCTAAAGATACTGGAAAAATGGTGGATTCTCTGTACTACTGCAGTAAGTACCTAACTCCTTGTACTATCCTCTAACTTTACAAGAGCAATATCAAGCTGAAAAGGGAGCACTGTTGCTAGATATGGACAGAAGCTGCCTAGTTGTCACTTTCCAGTCTCAACAGAGTCCAAAAATGTCTCTGCTTCCTTGTGGGTGATGAAATATTTTCCACTTTGCAACTCTTTTCCCCACAGATGAACCATCACAAGTCTCTTGTTGTTCTATCACTATTTTCCATGGAATGTGTTCAAGCAAACTGTATTCCTTAGTTTCTCCAGTTCTAACCTTCACAGCTAAGATCTGCTATGCCACACACATTGTAGAAGAACCACCCTCATTCCCTTTATATTCTATTGGTGCGAGGTAAGTTTCACTTGAAATGCTGCTTCATCTCATTGTGGAACTGACTCTCAAGAGGATGCTTCCCCAATCACTACAATCTTAAAATATTCAAGTCTAGGTTTAACCCCACATATCCCCATAAAATGTGCCTCTTACTCTGTAAACCTGTATTTTGAGTAGTTCTTTTTAAAAAAAATAAAAAAGTAAGTTATCTGCAATTTAACTCAAGGTGCAAGCATCAGTCCTTTTGAGATAATGAATGGAGAAACTGCACCAGACAGATATTTAGCTTGGCAGTGGGGAGGAAAGGTGAGAGAAAGGGGTTGGGTAAAGATAGGGCTTAGAGATTGGGGGATTAGTATTGGTTGGTTTCCTCATGCTCTGTAGTCTACATTGAGTTCTCCCTAGATTTATATCTTCCTCGGAATTATCCCTTCCAGTCACAAACTGGTAAAATGTGTGTGTGTTATACATACATACATATATATATATATATATATATATATACATACATACATACATACATACATACATACATACATATATATATATATATATATATATATATATATATATATATATATATATATATATATATATACATATATATATATATATATATATATATATATATATATATATATATATATATATATATATATATATATATATATATATATATATATATATATATATATATATATATATATATATATATATATATATATATATATATATATATATATATATATATATATATATATATAT